TTTGCACTAGGACAGCGCAGACTGCTTGCAGAGGTTTTTGACAGAGATCCCTGAATTAGTATTGACCAAGACAGGATTGGTGTCAGAGGCTCTCTACCTCCAAACAACATGGGGTTCTTCTCTGGCATTAAACTTATTTTGTAGATGAATTTTTAAGGGAGATTCTTTGGTTTTGTTTGAAGCCTTTAATTAATTCACTGTAGTTTCACTTGTTTTCCACTTCTGCAAGATAAAAAGTTTTAAATTCCTTTGTATATATCCCCTCTTAACATAAGCTCATTATAATGCTGGTATTTAGAAAAAGTTCTCTTTTCTGAACTCCTTAATGCCAGGTTTGTCAGTTAAGTAACTTTCCCATGTGATTTTAGCAGCCGATATCAAAGTCCCAAATAATAACTCCTGAACTACCCTGCAGAAAAGGTTGAGGCTTGCACATTAACATCATCATGACAAATAAAGAGTACATTATTGCTTGGTGGTTGAGAAAAAGAGGCCAGGAAGGTGAGTGCCTCCCTCTGCTCCAAGCCTGCTGCCAAGTCACTGACTATATCTTCTGTTCATTAAAGTGCCAGAAATGTGCAAGAGGTTGGAAAGCAGCTCAAAGTGCAATCAGAAAGTCAATAACACTCCTGACATCCTCTCCCTTCATCACAGCCAGGAGTCCATCTGAAGTGCTAGTGATGCAGGCTGGCATAAAAAACTTGCTCAGAGCTCGCTGCAGTGGTACACTGTCAAATTTCCTCTTTCTTATTGTAAAGATCAGGATCTAATTGTGGCCTTCTAGTGTCTGCAGGGAGCTTACAAGAAAGGAGAGGGACTTTTTACAAGACTATGTAGTGACAGGAGAAAGGGGAATGGCTTCAAACTAGAAGAGAGTAAGTTTAGATTAGATATTAGGAGAAAGTTCTCTGCTGTGAGGGTGATGAGGCACTGCAACAGGTTGCCCAGCGAGGTTGTGGATGCCCCATCTCTGGAGGTGTTCAAAGCCAGGCTGGATGGAGCTCTGAGCAACCTGGTCTAGTGGAAGGTGTCCTTGCCCATGGCAGGGGGGTTGGAACTAGATCTTAGGGTCCCTTTCAACCCAAACCATTCTATGATTTTATGATTTTGTAGGAAGATTTATGTAACAGTCTAAATTTTTAATATATACATATTTTCAGAGGGGTGTTTGTGTAGGGTGGGTGCTAGTGTTGCTACATCCATATTTTCCTGTGATTTACTCCTGAACAGAGGCTTGTGGCTCTCTGAGAAGTGTTTGGATCCTTGCAACGGCTTCATGGCAGTGGACATGCAAGTTGTGCTGATGAGAAGATTAGGTATAGGGAGATTCAGTGACTTGCCCCAAGCCAGAAAATCTGTCACTTCTTAAATTACTGCAATAATTTTCAGTCTTGGAAATGTATTATTTTCCTTTCCCTTGGGAATGTGTGTAGAAACATTACAACCTTATATCAGCTTTCCAGGGGTGAAATCACTGAGCATTACACCTGGCTAAAGCTGATGCTGTTCTCAATGCTCAGGGTAGTTTCCTTACTGCTTCTGTTTGTTTCTCTGTGAAATTCCTGCTGTGAACGCTTAAGTCCTTGTAATTATTGTTTTTTTTGTTAGTACCTGAGAGAAAGGACAATGAGCTGCTTTGATTTGAAAATCCATAACACAGCTGGAGCCAGGAGGCTCCACCCCCACTTCCACCCCCTGCCACGCAAGCCAAGTGCTGGACTGTGCCAGCTCAGCAATGTGCAAACAGCCTGGTGGCATAGTGGGGGAATGCTGTTTGAACAGTTTCTTCAGTCAAGGATTTTTCCAAAATAAATTGGATAGAAATTAATGGTTATGCATGTGAGTGTGATATAGCCTAGTGCTAGTGGGATAGAAAATGCAGCATGTTATGGTAGAAAATGAGGAAGGATTGTTTTCTCAGCAAATCTGGAATGGCAAGCCAGCAGGTGGTTGCAGAGACAAAAGAGGACAAGCTTCTCTTTTGCTTTTCAGGATGGATGGAGTTGGTAATGTTCTGGGAATGAGCTGTGGAAGAAGAGGGGTAAAGGGATGCCCCTGCTGTTTTGTCTCATCTAAATGATGCTATTTAGCACTGGTTACCTACCTAAAGTCTCCCTCTCCACCTTTCCTTTTGCTCCATCACTTGTACCAGTCCTCTGGACCCACTGCCACTTTACTATGGAGCAGTCCTCTCTGCCTGGGTGGGCAGACAGCTGCCTCCTCCTGTGAAGCAAATGGAGTATTTCATCCATCACACACTGTGCAAAATTACGGCCTTCCTCAATTTTTATCACTCAGCGTCATGATTTCCTGCAGATTGTTTCATATAGCCAGATATGTCTTTTTCTCTGACAGCACCTTCCATGCTCTGCTTTCTCAAAATCACCCATGAAGTTCACTCATTTTGAACAAATCACTCCTAAAGGACTTGTGAGTTATTTTTTTGTGGAATGCTATCCCTGTGGAGGCTCAAAGCATGCATTTTCTGTGTCGTTTCCTAGGGCATGCTTTGAGAAGACCACCTGGGTTGGGACCAGGCACTTTCTCTCAGCCGTGCATAGATGGTGTTTATTTGCAAGCTGGACTAGCAGTGATCTCTGGATCTGCAGTCCTTGGACATTGTGTCAAAGGGTAACAGGAATGACTCACATTTCATCAAAATCTTCCTGATAACTCAAGATTTCTTTGAGATGGATTTTTTTACTGTCTCTATTGACCTGTAGCATTACGGGACTGGGTTCCGGTAAGTTAACGGTATGTCTCTGAAAACTAGTGAAGAGGGGATGAAGGAGAAAGCTCCTTCAGCAAAGTGTGAAGAAACATGAGACCTCAATGACTCCATGTCTCCGGGAGGACTCCTGGTAAGGGAGACTGAATTGCTGCCTTGAGTGTCACTCTCTTCAGCATGGAGTTGGTCTGTGCTGTCTGGAGTGTGCCAGCAAGTAACAGCAAACACAGTACCACAGGCTTCATTTCTCACATAGGGTTTCCTTCATGCAGAATTACACTTTCCTCACTACATGCTCTTGTGTGAACACTTGAACTTGTGTGGGGCTCTCTTCCAGAAGGCTCTTGCCTTGCTGCCATCACACGATGGCTGGAATGAGTGTGGCAGTGGATCCTATTTTCCCCTAAGTCCTGACCAGACATCAGAAGCAAAGAACTAGAGACCACCACAGTGACGACTGTGTTGCCTGGGGCCCATGTTACTGTGCTAAGCCCCCTTTGGGGCAGAAGTCCCTAAAGCAGTGGTGTGCCTTTCTCCAGAGATGGCTGTCCCACTGATATCTTCATGGGACAAGGTGAAATGTTTCAAGCCCCAAAAATATTCTTCTTTCAGATAGGTGCCTCCTGAATGACCTCTGTTTGCAGAGGAACTCCAGCAAAATAGAAAGCCCAGTATACCTCATTGAAGGGACCAAAACCATTATCAGAAGGTTATCAAAATGTTTGAATCTGGAGTCAGCCTTCTGCTGTATAAAGCAAACTAACATTTTGATAAAAGTGTTATTGTGAATGGAGGTTAAAATAATAAATACAGAATTACTTTTCTGTTGCAAAGGGAGGGTTTGGGTTGGTTGTGGTGTTTTTTTTACAATCTCAAAAGATTTCATGAGGAAGATTCCCTTTGAGCTGTTCAGCTCAGCTAAAAAAGGTAGGAATTTTGTTTATTTTGTGATATTTAATGGGAAATACTTACTAGCCCTGATGTTTTAGTCAGCCAGTGTGACATGACAGCCAGCCTCTATTTTCTTGATATGGCAGCAGTCACTTCAACATGTAGAAAAATTTCCCCCCCCTTGACACTCTCATCCATGGTGTGACTTTTCATTTTGAGAATGTAGTGAATCTTGTCACTTTGCCTGGAAGCAGTTCCCAGAAGAACAATATTGAACAGTGGTGTCCCAACAGTGACTCCAAAGGTAGCTATGGCTGCAGCAGCTTGGGCTGAAGCAGGTCAGCAGGTTGCCTGATCCCTGCAGGAACCAGGAGTCTGTAAGCTCCAGGGCTGCCCTTCCACAGAGGACTGTGTCCTTGTCCCTGTGTGTCACTGACACACCAGAGCCCACTCCTAGCTCCACTGCTGGAGGGGTCCTGCAAGGACAGAAGCAGAAATGGATGATGGAGAAAGAGGAAACAGCACCTTTCTCCGCATTTGGCATGTGCAGACTGTTGATGAACCATTAATAACTCTGCTACGGACACCAGGTGTAACAAGGAAGAGCTACTGAATAACCCAGTGTGTTTTAGCCACTACATTGCTAACTCTCTAGATAATATTTTACTTCTGGTTTCAAGTACTTGCTGTCCTTGCAGGATGTTACACTGGAATAATCTGTTCTCTCCAGTGCAGAAAACATTCAGGGAACAAAGCATAGGAAATTAAGGGGAAGCAATTTAATAAAAATCCTTTCATTTTCAGTTCCCAGAAACTCTGAGCCCTCACACCAACCTGTGCTATATGTCACTGGCACATCAAACCCAAAACAGGAACTTCAGTGAGAAATACATTCTTGTGAAATGTGCAGGAAACAGCACTGGGTACTGAAGTCCTCAGCTCCCCTGTAAAGCTGATCCCAGAGGGGCAACAGCCATGAAATTTTCTTTTCCCTTTGCTGCCAACGTGCCTTGGCTCTGACCCGGGGAAACCTCTTCAAGAGGAGTACAATTCAGGTCACGACTTGGCAAACCCTTCACTGCATCAGGACTTTGGTTTCCAGGTTCACCCTGGGCAAAGATTAACCTCTCACACATAGATGTGACACTCTCTGGTAATGAGACTGTTGTGCAAAAATAGGCAATATGGCATTTCCTTGAGCTCTTGGTTCCCATCAACCAGCAGGTCTTTCTCTGTGCTTTCCTCTTTCCCCTGATGAGTTCACCACCCTACATTGGGGGTAAATTGAGAAGGAAACAATAGGTTCTGGACCAGTCTCCTGGCAAAATCCATCTCATATCTCCCCAGCAACGCTGTCCCTATTGCAGGCAGTGGTACCCACCTTACTATATGCATAGGCCCTACCGGTATCATCCACAATATTCCAACCCTCTCATACAGGGAGAGATAGTGGAGGGTGCTGACAACCAGGGTGCACGAGATGGCCGACCAGTCAGGCAGAACATGTACAGGGGTTACAGACCATGATTTTGCAGGGTCCTCCTCATCAAAGACAACCTAGAGAGAAAGAAGAAGGTGAAGAGAACCAAGGGGATGAAACCTGAAGTCAGCAACCACCTCAACGTCGGTACCACCGTAACTTCAGCTGCCGATGCAGAAACCCAGAGAACTCTATCCCACAAGATGGCAAAGAGACGAAGGCAGCTGAACCACCAGCTGAGAACACGTCTGCTCCCGAGGCTGAGCAGGACGCTGGCCACGGAAGTTGGAATCTGCTAAGGAGTGTGTAACAACTCACCTGCTGAATCAACTAGCCCTGGAAATGGATGGTGCTGGAGCGTCAGGCCTGCACCCGGCTGTCACCGGCAGTGTGAAGCCTGGGAGGTCTGGGCCGCCATGCATAGGAGGGCCCCTGCAGTGCGCCTCCAAGTCTGGGGTGTGGGCCCGGGTGGAGCCGCCGCAGGTGCAGATCTTGGTGGTATTAGCAAATATTGAAAGGAGAGCTTTGAAGGCCGAAGTGGAGCAGGGTTCCGTGTGAACAGCAGTTGAGCGTGGGTCAGGCAGTCCGCCACGGGACGAGTCTGTCCCAGCCCCTGCCTCTCGGAGCCCCCTCGATGCTCTTAGCTGAGTGTCCCACGGGGCCTGAAGCGTCTGCTTCGAGGAAATTAGAGTGTTCAAAGCAGGCCGGCCGCCGGCACAGTGCAGCTAGGAATAATGGAGTAGGACTCCGGTTCTATTTTGTTGGTTTTCGGAAATGGGCCCATGATTAAGAGGCATGGCTGGGGGCATTCGTATTGTGCTGCTAGAGGCATCACCCCATCAGGGCAAAACACTGGAGTGTGGTCAGCAGCAATTGTGATTCCTGCTCTGCCACTGAAGTCAGAAAGGAGATGACATTGGAAAGGGGATTGAAAAACTGAGCAGAAAGTGAAGAAGCAGAGCTGCTGCAGGGGCTGGGAAAACTATGCTGTTGTCTGAAATAGAAGCAAATGCTCTGGATGTGGTTGGATTAATTTCTGGGCTTCACAACAGGTATACATAATGAGCAGGTAATAATCTGTGAGGATCTGGGTAGAGGTTTGGGGTCAGCTTCATGGGTTAGGAAAGTCAAGAAAAATAGCTTAGGAAAGGCACAAGGAATTTTCATTGATGGAAAGGGTGTCATGAAATTCTCTGTGGTGCAGGGCAAGAGTGTCCTGTGGCAAACAAGTGTGCAAAGCTGTCTTCTGGAGCTAATAAGTACAGCGGGGAATGGCCCCTTCACAGCCAGTATTACCCTGCCAGTCACCACCCCTCGTGACTTTCCAAGTAGAAGGGCACTGGGAACAGCAGCTTTGGCACAGCATTTCAGGGCTTCATGGGATTACTTATTCACTGTGTTCCTGGATCAGTTCCAGACTACCCGGCTCTGCCTCCAGTGTACAGATTCATCAAGGCTCACAATCCCCAGAGGCAAGAGAAGACTGTAGGAAGGTTATTCATATTGCAAATCACACTGTCTCCACAGGACCTGCAGGGCTCTAGGAAGACAGAACTCCTTCCTTCTACCTCCCTAACACTACTTCAGGGTGATTAAGGCAGCAGACGCACTCTGGATGGATTTCATTGCTGGGGCCATTGGAGGTAAATACATAAATTAGTGGTTGTTGATGAGAGCAGATTGCTGTGTTTGCCTCTTGTTCAGCTAAAGGGCAAAGTCTCAATAGCAGAGCTGAGAGTCTTTCAGTGGGGGCTGCTTGCTAACAGTGTATTCTTCCTTATTAACGGAAAATGTCATCGGAGCAGGTTCACAGAACTGCTGGAGAGGCAGTGCTGCAGCTTGGTCATCTGAGGTCATCTTGCAATCTCCTCTGATCTGATTGCAGCGGGACACGGTATAACTCTAATAGGAAGAGACAGACTGTAATACCTTGTGTGCTGATACAAACCAGCTCATACTGCCCGGACAGCAAACCCTCATGTGCCTGGTGTCTTGGGGACCCAGCAACCTGCTGGAATCATGGCTCTGGGGGGCTGAGGATGTGATTTGTGAGACAGGAGGGGAGGAAGCATGGCGTTGTTGCAGTGAAGAATGTCTGAATGAACGGTCTTTGCATTGTCTGAGGTTAAGATGTATTTGCAGTTGTGAGGGTGATAGCGCAGGCGTGCTACAGCAGGCTCTGATCTGGGAGAAAGTAGGTTAGCTGTATATAAAAAAAGTAACAGGAGAGAAGTGTGATTAAATTTGAGACATTTTTAGATCATGTACTGCTCAAACCCAGCTTTGTTTTAAACAACAAAGTATACCCATCAGTCTCATTTCTTTGCTGAAATCTTATAAGATTTAGTGGAGTATCCAAGATAATATATACCAATAAATAGCAAGAGAAAAGCCTTGGGGTCACCACTGACAGAAAGGCCGGGTAAATCTGCCAGGTGGCTGAGATATCCAGCCCAAGCCTGCACATCAGATCTCACTTTGAGATTTGCTGAAATTTGGCATTTTCCCTTACCAGGAGCCACTGGCACCTGTGGCACCCTGTGGCACCACTGCAGATGTGCTTGTCCTGGGAGGGCCGTGATGAGTTTTACCCTGCACCTTTTAATTGCTCATCATGCAAACTGTGCAAGTGGGGTGAGGTTTGGCATCTCAGCAGCATCTGTCTGGACCAGGAGGTGCCTGTTTCTTGCAGTGTTGGTCTTCCTGGGGTGTTGAGAGACCCTGCTTGGAAAAGACCCTTTATGGGAGAGGAGGGTATAACCAACCCTCCATGACAGCTCATTTTTCTCCTCCTCTTTCTCTCCTGTAGAGAAGGGAGCCCTGTGCTGGGGCTAGCAATGGGATGTCCATCCCATTGGATTCACCAAACCTCCTCTAAGACTTCATGGTAGAGCAGAGATGATTGCTTTTGTTGCTTGGACTACTTTGCTTTTTTGGCACAGTTTGAGATAGGCCACTTAAGGACAAACTTCTTCTGCAAGAGAAATGAAGAGCTGAAAACACAGTTTCAACATGACTGTTCACCTCAGCATTCTGCCCCAGCTCCCATGAAAAGCCGTGGTTTGTATTGTAACCCCCTGTCCAGGCACCAGCATTGGGAGCTGTCCGACCATGAAGCAGGGATCTCCCATGGGTGCCCTGGATACAGGCTCAGCCTTTGCTTGTTTTAAGACACTTTACTGACCTCACAGTGACAGAGAGCAAGATTTTCCATCCTGTAATCAATGTCCATCTCAGGGCTTTATCTAGAAGGGATAATGCAACTTCTCACTGGCTGAGAGAGGTGTGTTCTGGCAGGCTGTTCCCTGCTGGAGGCTTGCACATAGACATGTGTAAGGTACGTGTGGAGGGCTTCAGGGCCGACATCCCTACCCTCACATGGGACAGCTTCCAGGATGGGACAGCTTTTCTGCAAGAACTGGATGGATTTTGGTGCTGAGCTTGTTTCTTGATTTATGTTTGTTGGAGCTGAAGCAGTTTTCGTGTTCCTAAGGAGGCTGCAAAACCAGCTGAGGAGCATCAAGTAACTCAAGAGGCAATATAAAAAATAAGAGAATTTCTGTTTAGTAAATTACATTCTTGTAACCTTGATCTGTTTTCAGAGTGTTTTGGAGAAAGCATGGCTTAAGCACTTCTGAAAAACAGCAGAGGTGCTGCCCATTCAAATTCCATGTAATGATCCATCCTCAGGCTGCCTCAGGCAGCTGCAGATATCATGCATCTCCTCTGGGCTATGGCTTCTGTGGTCATGGGGTAAGCTCATCATCTTCAGCCCAGGAAACAGTGATCTGCTGTGACTCCAGATGGAAAAAACATGAGAGAAACATGCTTAATGACTGTGGAGACTTTCAATAACCAGAAAATGTGGCTGAATGATTTGGGAAGTAGCTCATCTGTAAGGATGTCTTTCCTGGCCAGTAAAGCTGAGCAGGAGGTTGGACTAGAGACCTCCTGAGGTCCCTTCCAACTTGAATTTTCCTATGATCCCATGTATGCTTTCTAGCCTTGCTACAGCAGCAGCCTGGGCTGTGGTAGGGGATGAGGATTGATGAATAGGGTTATTGATTTTGGAAGGGGAGGCTGAGATTCACCCAGCAGGGGTAGAGCAGCAGGGTCTGCAGCACACCTGGGCTTTTCCACAACTGTGAGGTCACAGACAGTCCAAGTGTAGATAAAATAGTCCCTCTACAGAAGGAACATGCTGTCAACTTGTTCTCACAGATAAAGCAGCTCCTGCTGACCACCACCAGGGTCATGTTACTGAATAAAACTCAGCTTGTTTAGGGGATGGGGCACTACACAAAACAAAGGTCTTCAGAAGTTGTTTTCTACTCATACACTGTATAGACAATGACCCCTGCTTCTCCCTGGGTCACTCAACCAAGGGTTTGCCAACAGCTTGGAGCTGTTGCAGCCTGGTGGGCTCTCTACAGCTTGCTCTCTAGTGATTGTCATCCCACCAGCATCCCTCCTTAGTTAAATTGCCTGGTCAGAGTGCCCTGACTTGTGAAGAGACTGTGAGTAATCCCTTTTGTACCCACACTCTGTGTGTGTGTGTAGGAGGCAACGCCACAACCTCTGCACAATACCTGGGAACGTCTCAGACAAAGCAGGCATAAAGAACAGCTCACTAAAATCAAAAAAGGTCACTCACTGGTTTTGCTATTTATTTTTGTCACAACTGATGCAGTGTTACTCAGCAGGAGTTCCATAGGAATCCTCTCCTGTATGCATGCTATACATTGCTGGCCTTCTTAGATTCTGCTGTGCAAACAGGGCATGTGTGGGTCATGCTATCTTAGTCCCAGGCTATTTATATTGTGTGACAGTGTACCCTTCTTCTTTGACCTTTGTCGGACTTGGCTGAGCTCTTCAGCTCTGGCAACTGCTTGGAGTGTTTTGGCTCCTAAGGAGTGTAGTTCATGGTAGGCTGTGTTTATTTGGAGGTTTCAGGGATTCACATCTCTGGTGGGAGCAGTAAAAAATTTACCTTTATGTCCCCCTCCCAAGTGGAGATGCTTGGTCCTTGTTGGAATCAAGTTGATTGGGAGCCCTTAGGACTGAGAAACCGTGGGAAACAATCTGTTTTGGGGCAATCTGCTACGCTGTTGTCTTTGCATTTAAATGTGTGAACAGGGCAATTTCTCCAAAGGGAGGTCAGTTCTTGTCAAACACTGACCCAAATAAGCCTTGGTACATGATCTGCATGAGCTCCTACATTCCTGAGCCAGTGCAGCAAGCCAGGACTTAGCTGTGCATGCTGCCTCCCCGTGTTGCTAGCATCCAGTCAGCCTATGGCCACTGCCTCCAAGATTCAGGAACTCTGAAACCGATGTGATGCCAAATCCTCCCAGGCGGGATGGGGTTCTTCGGACAGGGGACTGCAGCTCTGAGGTCAGCATTGTCATGTTGGCATTGACCTACATGTTGCTCTTCTCTGTCTGGCAGTGTCCATGTTTACTCTGGCCAGTGGCCAGGACAGTGCAGGTGTCCCCAGGTGACTTTGTGCATTGTCACGCTCTGCTTGGACCAAAGGTGTTCCTTCTTCAAGCCATAATACTGCCTGTGTATTCCCCCTTGCCTCTCTCTTTCATCCTTCCATCTCTTCCATCTTGGCCCATTTTTCACCTTCATTTCTGGTTAGCTGATATCAGAGTTGATAGATATTTTTTAAGAAAAAACCTCATTTTTCTGCGACTGAGATGCTGTTGGCTGTTTTCTTCCGAGTAACGCACTTTGGGATTGTCTCCTGGTGAATCACAGTAGCAGCAGCCGCTTTTCTGCAGAACACAGGAGAGCTTTCCAGAGCTCCCAGGCAGCCATGTAATCACAAGTGAACACGCCCACAGCAACTTATACATATTTAAACAGCTTGGTTTTGAAGTCTTTTTAAAGAAGCACTCAATGAGAGGCAGTTTCCAACCTGTGAGCCACCAGATATGCCCTGTACCTCTGACTGCCTGGCTCCCTGAAGGGCTCATCAAGCACTTGTATGAACTCAGTCTCTGTCTAAATAAGTCACATGGATACATCTCCATGATCCTCCAGCCTGATTTCCTCTCAAGTGACTTGGCATTAGATGTACTGGGAGGAAGTTAGCTGGTCAGCACCTTTATCACTTGCTGTGTCTGCCACCATTTATATCAGAGCTGGTGAGGTGAGGACAGGCGTGGGGATGATCTATTTGTTACTGCAACCAACAGAAATTCTTGTTGGAGCTCTTTAGCTGTCCTTACGTGACATTAAGGCAGTAACTGTCTCATAGGATTATTACATTTCCAACTCCAGTGGCTATTTTAAGTTCTTTGAGTGAGCCTGGGTGTTGAGAGAGGATTGGCAGCTTCCCCCACCCTCTGGACATGCCGTCACAGCAGCAGACGGGGAGTCACAGTCAGCTGGTGTATGGGGAGGGCTGTGGAGCCCTGGCTTTGAGCACACCCTCGCTTTCCCAAATCCTGATGTGCCCCAAGGGACAGCTGGAGGGTGGTCTCACTGCAGAGCAGTGCTGCTGGTTGTGCTGTGCCCCAGCACCACACCAGCCTGCCAGGACTCCAAGATTCCTGTGCTTTCACTCCTTACCCTGCTTTTGCAGCAGTGCTTGGCGCAGGTAGGAAATGCCCTTCAGAGGCTTAGTCCAGCATGGTGCTGTGGACCTAAATGCCTCAATAATTCCTCACCCATGTAGATGTGCTTTGCAAGCTTCAGCCAGGACATGTTAGTCCCTGGAGGCAGCAGGAGCACCTCTCCTGTCTTCAAGAGAGATTGCTGAGAACCTCTAATGTATGAGGACCACTCTTATATATATATTCTTGTGAGCGCTGTTTTTATTCCTTAATATTTCCAAGTCAAGTATGGAGAACCAAAATTGCTCCAGAGACTCACTTATGTGAGTGGGGATGCTTACACTGCACATGAGGGTGCTTGGTCATAGTCCAAAGATGCCTTACTGCCCAAGCTGAAAGGGGAAAAAATAGCAGTCCAATATCATCCCTTCAGTCTTCCTGGAGCAGTTCTATCAGTGTTTCTTGCTGTCCCATCTTGCACTGTGGTGTTATTCCTCCCTGGTAAGTTTCTCATGATGTTATGATTCCTTCTCTGAGTGTGTCTTGGTAACACAGAGGAATGTGCGTGATTTTTCTGTCATTCTTGGCTCAAACGACATTACTGGAGCTCAAGAGAGTTTTGGTGCCAAGCATGGCAGGACTCTGAAGCTGTGTTTTCTGCTATTGACCAATGCCCTTCTGTGATGCGTGAAAACTTTCTGTCGTGACGTGTTGTAACCATCTCCGACGCATTCTCTGTTTCAGGTGGCCTAAGCACAGCCGTGGGTTATCCGCTGGACACAGTGAAGGTACCTGTTGGAGCTTTATTTCTTGACTGTAGAACAAAAACAAGTAGGCCCTTTTGCTTTCCCCCTCCTTTCCAGAATACTAGTCCCATGAGAATGCTTTATCTTCATTACATCTACATATTTCACCATATTTGGTTGTGTTGTTTGTCTCCTTCAAAGAAAAATTAAATTGTTTGGTGATGCTCTTTTATGATTAATTTCTGATTTGCTGCTATGGCATTTGTTGATTTATTTTTTTTTAAAATCTGATATCTGCATTTTAAAGTTGCTCCTGTATTCCTAGGTGAGAATTCAGACTGAGAAGCATTACAAAGGGTTTTGGCACTGTGTTCAAGAAACATACAGGACAGAAAAAGTAGGTACCTCTCATCAGAATTGCTGATACTCATTGCTGATGACTTGTTTCAGGGAAGCAGAGCTGTTTCTGTCAGTTTGACGAGGGTGGGCACCATTTACACACAACCATTTGTTGGAAGAGGGTGAAATTTAGCTTTGCTGATGAGCTGTAAGATGAAAACGATGCTGCCTGGCAAACGTGCATGGTCCGGGGACAGGGAGGTGAGGCTGGACGCAGGAGCAGTTTCCCACAAGCCAGTGCTTTCAAGAAAATGCTTTTCTGTGCCATTCACTCTTAAAAGTCTTTTCTCCCCTGTTTCCCACTAGATTTGGGGATTTTACAAAGGTGTGTCTGCATCAGTCCTTGCCGTATCAGCAATTTCTTCTGTTTCCTTTGGCACATACAAGAACTTCCTCTGTACAATCTGCAAGCTGCGATACGGGGCTGCAGATGCAAAGCCATCCAAGCTGGATGTTTCCCTTGCTGGAGCTGCTGCCGGTGCTGTCCGGGTAGGTAAACAGCCGTCAGGGAAAGCACAACAAGAGATCTTGTTCACAAACACAGGAGGCTAGAAAGGCTGGGAATGTTTTTGGCCCGAGAGGCCTCAGGGGAACATGCAACAAGTCTGGTGAGTTTGTTTTTGCAGGGGAGGTCATGCTTTGCCCATGCTGCCCCCTCACTGGTTGGTCAGTGGGATGGCCAAGTCCTGCTGGGCAGCTGATGATGGATTTGGTTTAGAGCATCAAAATACTTGAGAACATGCTCTTAGAATAACATGGACCTTGGCAGCAAACAGAGAACAAGGAAGAAAAAACGACTTAGGCAGTAAACTTCCCAAGTGGCTCTGATGGTGTGTTTATGTAAGAAAAGAGATAACTAAGTTGAAGCACAGGTTGGTCCTTTCCCAGTGGCCCCACAAGCCCAGCATGGTATTGCTGCTGAAATGGGCAGTGCACAATGCTGCCTTGCCAGGAGTTAAAACTCAATAGGGCACTACCAAGAACTGATGCTGCCTGGAAACATGTATGATCCTGGGATGGGGAGGTGAGGCTGAATCCAGGAGCAGTTTCCCACAAGCAGATGGATCTCTGTGAGCATCCAAAGGTGCTGTGAATGTGGTGGAGCTCACCCCATCACCCCGGTGGCATGCTGGGTCACAATCCTCTTGCAGAGCAGATGGTCAGGTTTCCAGGTGTTTCCTAGCAGTCAGTGACTCAACACAGGCTAATTTTTTTAAAGTCTTTAAGGTCTTGGTTCAAATGCATATACAAACAAGAGCCCTGATGTATGCTTCCCTATAGCTGAAGACATACCCTTTTTGTGCCCATCTGGTTTAGCAAGTAGTCACAGGTATTTAATATCTGGTGTTGATTTCTGCCTTGCCTTCCACTCTGCCCAGTGCAGCTCACACACGTGTCCTGCTGCTGCTGGGTGGAATGGCACAGGCAGAGGGGAGGAGGCTGGAACTTGCTAGAGTTTGCAGACAATATTACTGCCTGAAAATTTGGGAGACAACAAGTTTTCAGGAAGGGGATAATACACTGTTTAAATGTGAAGGGTTAAAACACCACCCTCTGATGTTACAGGTTGTGTTGACAAACCCCAGTGAAGTGGCTAAAGTTCGGATGCAGACTCAGAGAAACCCACACCCTTCTGTCACATCTCAGCCTGTTTCCAAACCAAAGTACCAAGGGTCTCTGCACTGTCTGAAGGTGATCACCAAGGAGGAAGGTTTTGGGGGTCTCTACAAGGGCTGCTCTGCATTACTCTGCAGGGATTGCTCTGCTTCTGCAGTATATTTCCTTTCCTATTCTGCTCTGTGTGACTGGCTCACACCAGCTGGGAAAAATAAACCAGGTAGGTATCGGAAAGCATCTGGCATTACCTGCAAAAATGGCTTATTTAACACCACTCTAAGAGGGAAATGGTTCTTGGCAAATATCACCCAGTACCTATAAAACCTCACCCAGACCTGATCCTCAAGCAGGGTTGCTGTGTTTGTGTTTTCTGGTGCTGCGGGGCTAGTTTTGGGCCCCAAGCATGGGTGCCAGCAGCCTCCCTGTGATGGCTTCACTGGCACAACCTTGTCTCTGAGCAGCTACTCCTCCTCCAGCAAAAGGGGTTTTTACAGCATGCTCTGCTGCCTCATATGTGGATATGAAATCCTGTTAATGCAGAAACAGGATATGTAACTAGAAATGAAACATGGACAAGCCTCCCAGGAGCCATCACAGAGCACAGATAAGGGTCAGTCCAGGACTTGAAAATAAAGTCCAGTTGCAGAACGTAAAGACATTTCAGGTTCTTAGTTGTGATTTTGCTCCAAAAAGCAACTATCCTCTTTGAGAAAAGATTGAATAGGTAACATTCAGCAAAGAGTATCTCTCTGGGAATTATAAAAATAAGTAGATCTATCTGAGTGCTCTCAGGCTGCACCACATCTAGTTTGCGTGGTGTTCAAAGTGCCATGTGTGCAAAAACGAGTATTTTGTGAGATCACTGGAAACACACAAATGCAAGAGCTGGACAAAATAACTTCTGAAAAAACATGAAAGTTACCCAAGTTCATTGACAAATCTGAGATGCTTGTAGCTACGTGAGACTCAAGTGAACTGCTCCTCCGTTCACTCTCTCCTGCAGGTTTCCTCGTTGTGCTGCTTTCTGGGGGTTTTGCTGGAGTCCTGGCCTGGGGATTAGCTACTCCCATGGATGTCATCAAATCACGGATGCAAATAGATGAATCGGACCAGCACAAGTACAAGGGCCTGATCCACTGTGTTAGGGAAAGTGTGAGAAAGGAGGGTGCAAAAGTGCTTTTCAAAGGACTGGGTTTAAACTGCATTCGTGCCTTTCCTGTGAACATGGTAGTGTTTGTAACGTATGAAGCTGTACTGAGATTTACAGATCGTTACATAAGCAAAAAATAGCTCGTTCTAGTCTTTTCAGAGGTGTATCTTGTTTGTTATTCTTTTTTGTAATACAAAATCCACAATCAACTGCTGAATTGATGGACAGCATAAGAAGCATGGACATTTCAGCACAAAGCTGATGACTGATGGCTTTGTTTCATTCCAATAGGATTACAAACTCATCAGGGAGCCTTGGATTCACATACAACCTCTCTTTTATCTCGTTAAAGTATTTAGACTGTAGCTGCTGCTTTGGCCCTTGAAACATTTGGGAATATTTATGTTCTAACAAGCTGCTTGTCTGATCAGAGGTTTTGGTAAAGTACTTAATTTCGTTTTCTACCAGCCCAGAAAATGATCCTCACGACCAAAGCAAGAGCTGGGGGGAGTTTGTGTAAGATTTAGCACTATCCAGCCTGCGCTCTTTACATGTAATGCCTGCACTGCATTCACTGAGTGACTTACATATTTGTGCTTCAGGCTGTAACTTCACTTTCCCAGCTGTAATTTTCCCAGAGTACTCTACAGTTATATCCCCTTGGCAGCAGCTGAAATATGAATGTCCTTGCTTTTCCCTGTTGCTATTTAATGAGTGGCAGGCATGGTCTGTTTACATAACCAGCTAATGGCCTCACTGCAGTGACGCCAGGCACGCCAGGCACGGTTTCCCGGCAGCCACGTGATTTTCTCCCAGAGCCCTACACAGCATCAGGCCTCTCATGGAGGCCTATGGAACAGCATCTCTCTGAGCTTGGCACAGCTTTGGAGGCAATCTGTTCTCATCCTGTAGGGAGGGTGGAAATAGATGCAAAGCCTCTTTGCTTTCTCAAAGGAAAGGCTGCTGTAAAATCTGCGCACTGGCGGGGTTAGGCAAGTTAAAGGAGAGTTGCAAAGCTATAGAGCATAATTAATTTACAGCTTTCAAAAGTGCATACTCTTCTCCCTTTAAATGATGCTGTTAGGAGCAGCCAAATGTTATTTTATCAAAGGTATATTTTGAAAGAATTTATTACTTCTTTCTCATCTTCCTATTACTTCTTTTTCATTACTTTTTCCTACTTTTCATTAACATGCCAATTGAAAAAAACAACACCCATGCTATTGCTTCAGAAGGAAAACCCCTAATCCCAGAAATACTTTAGTTTGTTCATCCTGCCTCAGGGGCCACATATATGCTTTTTCTCTCTGTTTTAATCCCTGCATGAAGACACTTGGAGTGGACTGGATCCAACCCCTCTCACATTCAGCTAAAAATGCGTTTCTTGGAGGGGAAGGGGAGTACTATATTTTAAAAGGAGTACTCATATTCAGGACCCTTCTGGTCCACAGACACTTTCATCAGTTGATGGCATGGCTTTGACTACACTGACAGTAATTTTGCAGCAGACTTGACAGCTGCCCTTGACACATAGAAAACGATCTTGTACTAGAAAGACAAATTTAAAGATTTCAGGTGCTACTACACAAGAATAAAGGGGACCTCTTCCACTCCAGACAGAGACCACTAAAAAGGTCCACAACTGTACTCCTGAAATCTAAGCCTTCAACTGGCCTTTTAAACATGTTTACAGCCTTGCTATCAGACAAGCATCATAATTCTCTCAAGTCTACCCAGCTCTTGCAGTTGGTCCAAGAGCAGAGTTAAAAGACCAGGCAGGTGCACAGTATGTCACCTTAAGGGGGAATGAAATTAAAGACCCAGCACTGAACTGGATTTTCTCTACAGTACTTATGGCCCCAGCAACCTACCACCCCTGGTTACAGCTTTGAGTGTCAGCACCAAACGTCCTTTAGTCAGAATGTCCTTACAACTGAAGATTTAATTAAGTCCTCAAGGTCTGGAAATCCTCTTAAGATAGCTCTTAAGAGTCTACTACCCTCACGTTTTTATACAAGGAACACATTTAACTGAGTGCTGTCCCAGCTGGGCAGTGATTTAACCCAGCTCTGCCTGGATGTTTGTAATCAAACTCCTTTATGCTGCTTTATTCTCAGCTGACCTTGTTCCCAGGCATTACATCCCCTGAGCAGAGCCAGTAAAAGAATGCCTGCAAAACAGACTAAACAACCACTTATTGTTAGGCAGCACAGATACCACCCATGGCCAGCCCAAGGTTTGAATGTTAACTAGCTCATCTTTCTCGATAGGCTCATGCATTCAAATGACTAAAAATGCTTCCTCCTGTGAGTGGAACTGAACAGCTGATTTTGAGACAGGAATTACAGATGAGTTGTAAATATGAGTGGGAATAATTGCGGAAGCCAGTAAGAGGGGCTAAGAACTGTAAGCCTTGGGACATTCAGCACCATATGTAAGCCATGTGGCCTGAACAAATGCTACATGAGAAGCAAATTGCATCTCCAGGCAGCTTATTTCAGGAAGGTAAGGCCTTTGCAATCCATCCTGTTCACAACCCTTTACTGAGAAAAATACGTGTACAATGTACGGGTGAAAACCTGCCCTAGAGTAAGAACTCACTCTCAGCTAATTCACGCTGATACAAACACCACTAGGTACAGGAACTGACTGCAAGTGCTGTAAACACAGGCACATAAATATCAACCAATTTGTGTTTTCTGACTGACACATATTAGGTACTTCACTACACACACACACACACACCAAGCTGGGTTTCTGGCTTCCGGTTTTCAGCACTTGACTACTTTATTTTCTGATTTCTCTGTATTATCGTCACCTTTAGCTACTCTAACAATCACAGAACTATTTATTCTGATAAATTAGCCAGCTGAAGGCCAGCTAACAGAAAGAAGACACCACATTTACTCTGCTGATATTGGGTTTACTTTGCAATAGGGACTGCAGCTTGTTGTAGAGATGATTTCTTTCAGTAACAAAGTTGGTGGCCTTGAAAAAAAAGAGAATTTTCTTGGAAGGCACATTCTGCTTCAAGTTTCACGTTGCTGACAGTTCCTGTTTCCTCTGACAATATTTATGACTATCTGAGTAGGTTTCAGCATGTTTTTGGGTGACTTTAGAAGAGCTGCAGGAACCTATTCAGAACCTGTGCTCTTGCATAGCAATTATGGAGCACCATGTTTCCACTGAAGTACCAGTTTTATACCAAACCTACCTGTAAAGAGATCATATTGACCTTCCCCCATTTCAGAGCTGGCTGCTATACACAGGGACATTCAACACCCAGTCTGACTGGCAAACAGGTAATTTTGGACAACTGACCCTTACTGGCTCACTCTGGGAGCAATCTGAAGTCTACCTGGAAGGGGGTTATAAGGTACCTTGTTTCAGTACTTGAAAGGCACTGGACATCAAAACAAGGACCAGCTACATCAGATGATTAAAGTCAACACTTAAAAGGGTAGGAAGAGAGGTCAAAAACAGTTTCAATTAAGGTTTTAGAAGATAATAATAAAAAGTAAAACCAAAGAAGTTCGATACAGACTTTTATCTACATTTTTATTACAGTGAGATGAACAAAATAAGTGAATCGAGTAAAATGTAATGAACATTGCCTGATAACATTCTTAGACATTTCACATGTACTTTTGACAACTGCCTTCTTCTAAATGCCTCTGGGACATGAATTGTAATTACAACAGATGTAGGAATTCACCAAGGCTCTTCTGAGAAACAGTGTCATTTCAGAAGCATGTTGGTATGAATTCATCAGAGTACTTGAAAACAGTGCTTGCTCTGTAAACAAATACTAAATAGTTTTGCTATCACTTTCCTTTCTAGAACTTTCGAAACAGATTTTAATTGTTGTTATAAAATTAATCCATCTGCTTAGACTAGAGTACTGTTTCTCCTACAGCATATTTTCCTTTCCTGAATAACTAAATTAATTCTTAGTTAATGAAATAAATCTTGCAGGACAAATCTGCATATAATATTTTAAACAAGAAATTTGCATTATGAGTTCATAAAAGCCCTTTTAAATGCAATTTAAGTCTTATCGTTTATATATGGCTTAAAGACAACAAAGAATAGACTGCAAGAATAGGAAGGTCATCATCAAAGTCTAAAGTAAAGAGTTAGCTTATTTAATACTGGATTTAAGAAGCTATTTTTTTCCCTAAGAATTGCTCCACTACTTTTAAAAAATAAATTCTTTTTCTACTGGTTGTTAAGCCCTTGCTGGCATTGAGATGATTTGCGTGTGAGTTATAAAGACAGTCTCTGTGAACCATTTTCATTAATACATTAAAGTCAATGGCATTAGTGATGCCAGCTCACACAAACTGTAAAGAAAAAGACAAAAGCTAAGCCTTGCTATTTTCAGCACAAGTTTGAGACTCATGCAATAGGACTACATTTGCCTTCCACTTCTGTCTTTCCTTGGTTCCTTGCACAAACATAAATGAACAGGTTTACTTCATGTACACCTTGGCACTTCCATGTCAGCAAGGCAGGGTCACGCTGCAGAGGGTGTGTGCTGTGTGACAGAACCGCTGCTGGGGGGAAGGCAGTGGCACCAGCTCCGGGCAGCACAAACACCCAGCACGTTCTCAGGTACTAACAGACTGATCCAAGGGCTACTGAAGTCAGTGAAGTCAGTGACAAGTCTCATCCTTGAAACGTCTCCCTCAATTCAAGTGTAATCAGCTGCCTTCAAAGATCTGCAGTGAAATTAGAAGCTGCTTGTTTTTAGTTTTATTTTTTTTTTAGGAATACTACAGTCAATTTATGTTCACTATACTCCACCACAGAGAATCTTTTAAGTTGAAATCTTTGACATCTCATTCAAGTGCCTTCCTTGTATTTTTAAATGATTTACAAATACCGCACACCAATACCCACGCGTTATCTGCATTAAATAAAAATACCCTTGATTAGACTATTTCTGGGCTAGGAACTTTCTGTTCTATATAAATATAAGACAGATCTAACATTGCATTCAGCACCGAATATATCAAAACAAGCTAATAATTGGAAATTTTCTTCCATAAGTAGTACCAAAGAGATTTAAGTTCTTTTGAAGAAAGGATATAATTAAATATTACTTGAGGTATTTTAACAAAGTATATTTTCTCACTGCAATACATCCTAAAATAATTATCCCTAGTTTAAACAAGCTCGTGCAGTAAAAGAGGACAGTACAAGAAGTATCCCTGTGTCCAGTGTCACTTAATTTTCAAAGCATGATTTAACACTTGGTATTTATAACTAGACACTAAAATTTGCACTTCTATACTATCTTCCACCTGAGAATATGAAGGAACTTTGCAACCTCATGATAACCTCCTCTCTCCAGAGGCACTCAGATCAGTAAACAGCAGCAGAAACAAAAGTAAAGTGAGATTTCTGCAACTTGCCCAAGATCAAACAGGAAGATAACAGCAGAACAAGACTGATATTCTTTCTCCTGTGTTCAACTCACAGATGTCCATTCTTTCTGTATTGATCCCACTTTGTAACACTAACTAGCTTTTTGCGTGCAGCATGTTCCCAGTAGCCCAAAAGAACATGCAGTCTAGTAAACCAAGGTACACAGTACAAAAGAAAATGGAGCTACTACTTATTGGTTTGAGATATGACCTCTTACTAACATATTTAAAACAATTTCCAAGTTAGCCTTTATCATCAAATGGAAATTTTATTTATATTTTCAACATGAAATACATTTAAATACAATGCTGTGCTGACATACATGCTTTTCTGCAAGACTGATCCATTGTCTTGTATATTCTGAATTTAAATAGGTACAATTTTAAACTTTTTCTGTACTTTGCTGTTCATGATAATTAACTCATTGAAAGCACTATTTATAACACTGATTACAGGCTGTACATAACTAGAGGGTCATGACATACAACAGAAGACAACAATTACTTGGTTTTGCATTATCAAGTGCTAAATTACATACACACTTCTTCAAAATTCAAAGGCTAGCTTCCGTGGAGTCATGAATTGCTTCACAACTTCATCTGTGACCTGCTTCCTTCTTTCTTGATGAGCTGCTATCAAGGGCTGCATTGTTTCAATAAGTACCTTCTTCAGCTCCCCTGTGAGCAATTCCCCACTGGTGTAGGCCTGTCAAGAAAGTGTTGGTGGCTAAACGTGGTGCTACTCACAAAAAGACTCAGTGACCAGTATTTCTTTAAAAGCCTCATACCAGCAAATACAGATTTGGATGTCTTAAAAATAAGCACATGCCTTAGAAGATTATGTGGTATCACTCTGAAGATGCAGCTTGTAAAATTGCTTGTTGCCTTTGAAAAGATTAAGGCAGCTGGGCATTTTCCTAAGTTATTATACGGACTGAATAAGCTTCTTTCACAAGTTTAACTCGGAAATCCTGTAATTACTTGCAGGAAACTGCTTATTTTCCTCCCCAGAATCCCAGTTCAAATAAACAGTCACTCTGAGCTGTTTTTTGCAATGAGAGGTACAAATTCTTATATTTTTTTTCTCATTACATTTGGGTAAGAGATTAGATGTGATTGAAATATCCTTTTTACAGCAAAGACACTCAGAATCTATGTTCACACCAACAGTCATATTCACAGCTGGGAATTCATTCCATTGCTCTGATACTGAAATGCTTTAGCTAGAAGCACAGACTAAGAGCTAGAAACCACGGCTGAGGCAGTTCAACTACAATTTGAAATGACAATAAACACGATAATCTTACATCCCCATGTCATCAAGTAATTTGTAACACCTATTCAAGGTGCTACTCAGCAACAGTAAAATATGTTAACCAGAATTAACTGAATTGCAATTTCACTGGTGTGTTTTTGGGCCTGAAAGCTTCCTCTGGTGCCTCAACTGAAACTGCTCAACTAACGCCACTAAAATCAGCGAGTTCATGTTTTCTAATCAGGTTCTGAGGCACCACTGCAGTGAGCTGCAAGCTGTGGGCCAGGCTTTGTGCTCTGCAGCTCTCAACTTTGTTGCTGCTGTTCCCAGCAGGAGAAAGCCCATAAACCAGTGTGACATGGGTGCTATCTACTGCCTTCTAGAGAACACACATCACCTAGTATTGGTGATGAAGAGAAGTGAAATGTCTTGCTATCAACCCTGGGGACAGAAGTCTGCCAGATAGGTTTCAGGAAAATGCAACTTATATGAAGCAGTTTTTTCTTGGGATCAATGAATCAATTCCTCAGAGCTATTACATTTCCTGTGATGATAAGAAAAAATAACAAACCAGCAAGCTTTAGACATGAGCTTTTCTAGTTTTGCTGAGTGCCTTGCAATATGGAACAGGCAGAGTGCATTATACAATTAAGTGAAAACTTATCCTAAGGTGGCCTAACTTGAAAGGTAGGGAAGATATTGTCCTACACAGTGTTGGAGATGCTTATGAAAATACTAGTGTTTTTTTTTTTTTTAAGAAGAGATAGATTGACCTGTGAGAAAGAACATTGCAAAGAAACAAATACTAATATTGACACTTGCGAGGGATAGAGAGAACAAGAATAACACCAGAACTACCTTCCTAGAGAAGGTTCACAGGAGGACTCAGTCACAGCTTTGTTGAGGGCTGAGGTTACAGCTTCGTCCTCACAGTAGGGAATGAACAACACTATCTTCAATTTGGCTACTTACCTGCTTCAGTTGTTCGAGCCTGTCATCATCTTCCAGGAAGAATGTCAGGTACATAAAAGACACATCAACGTCACAGTTCCCTCCGTACTTCCTGTGCTCCTCAATAGTATCTCTGCCTCCAGAGAAGGCATGCTTGTTAATCTGAAACAATATGATGATGCTATGGTATAATTTCTATTAAATTCTGGATTACTTTACTGTAAACAGAGGTGTATCATGATCCTCCAGATTCTGTATTAAGGACTAACTGAAGGGTGAGTGGGACAAGATAATGCAGAGCCTCAGGACTGAAAAAAGGAGACCATCAGAACCCATCAGGGAAAAATGGCTACACACATATACCTCAGACTGAATAATCAGTACAAAAATGAAGTGAAAATTAAAAATAATCCACTCAAGATTCAGTCTAAAAAGTTTTAAGTCCCTTTCACTGAAGCTGTTGTCTGTTGGACAGAATTTGTGCTCGCAGGAAATGTACTTCATGTAAGAAAAGATATTTACTTCACCAAGAAATTAATTTTGAAAGGATGAAGGAGGCATGGAAAATTCTGAAGAAATCCTAGAGAGAACCTAATCTCCTCTTTTGCTATAAAAGGAAAGCAAGAGAAAGCAAAGATTACAAAACTCTGTCTAGAATGCCTAAAATCAGACCAATGCCCTATTGCTCAGCCTAAAAATGGAATACTTGCTGACATCCTGCCTCTCTTTTTAAGCAGTTTCCTATAGGCAGATGAACTGTACTGGTGAACAGATGTACTTGCTAATCCCATCCTCGGTAAATTCGGAGGACATCAGCCTATTTTATACATTTATACATAAGTAGAATTCTGAGGATGCTAATCTTCCTACGAATTCAAAGAGAATAAATTACTTAGAGGAGGGAAAAAAGTATTTTTTGAACATATGCTGAGCTTTCATTTGGTTCTTGCATCTTTTGAGATAGCATAATCAACCTGCCAAGAAACACATTTGCATACGAAGTAGATTTTGTTTTTAGTTCTGGTATCTAGGAGCTGCTATATATTTACAATTTATGAATATTCCTACTATCTGTGTGACTGTCTAGTGATTTTTTGCACTTTTTTGAATCTCTCTAAACAACCATGTTACAGATGATGTCTTGTGGCAACAAATTACAATCAAAAATGATGCACTGATGAATATTTTAAGAAAGTGAACTGCTATCTGCCACACTACATCTATTCTTATGTTGTAGGACAGCCTGAATAGCTGTCTCAGCATCTATAAAACTAAGTTTTTACATACTGTTCTGAATTGACCTCTCTCCTTAGTAGATTTTAAGTCTGTATGAACTTTTTTCAATGTTCCTCATCGCTACAGTTTTTCCTCTCCATCAGGTGAAGGCACATTGTTGTTTTACACAAAATGTTTCTTATATTATTTCAAGTTCATTTTTTTTAACATATTCTGCCACCTACTAATTGACTGAGGGTTTCAATGAGTTACCTACAGTACTTCACTGATTTTTTTGCACGGAATTTCCCTGAATGCTTGAAGACATCTACAGATGTAGAATCTAAATAGCACTTTCTAGGAAAACGAACAAGTAATTGAGCTGTAATTTGCTGATAGGTGGAATAAGAATAGTTTATTAAAATGCTGCCATTCATCTCCTTGGATTACCCAGAAGCTTCTCAGCCTTTCCCAATATATAGTAATTTTTCATCTTATATTACCTGTAAGTTCTGAACTTCATTACTTAGCAATGTACTAGTAACCTGAAAAACGCTGCACGCAGTAAATTTTTTTTATGCAGCAGTACCACCCTCTTTTCAACCTTCATCCATGACCAGAAGTCACCTTTCATACTCTATTTTTTTATTTATTGCCCGAAACAATATTTGGTCTTTCACTCAAGCTCTATTTCCATAAAGACTCATTTCTCATGGGCTTCAGAGGCTGAAATAAATCTCAGTTTGTCCTTCATTACTCAACAGTTTTCATCATGTTCACGATTTTTCTTTATACCTTTTATAATCTAAGTAGCTAGGATTATTTTGTTATTTTTTCAAGTAGTTTAAAGACAGTAGAATTAGGACTTATGAACTGGACATGAAGCATCTTGGATCTCTTATCAATATTATCATTAACCATGTATTCTATATTCTGAAATTACAGCTTTTTTTTTAAAGCAACTCTGTAACTGTGCAAATAAACTGGAATTATTATAATCTTATAATCCAAACACATGAAGAACAACAATTCTTCAAAACAGTACTGTTTAATCAGTTTCTACCAAAGAGAAGGAATCATTATAGATGGCTGTAGAAGAATCTGACCTATACACAGGTTTGTCAACCATAAAAGAACTAATCCAAGCCTCCCCAGAAGAAACTACATATATATCTTTTCTTCTTGTTTTGACAGTTATTTCATGTCTGGGTATCATGTCTATAAATCCTCTCCCAAAGACTGATTTTCCTTTTCTTTAAATACCAAAACACAGATGAATCTTTTACAAACTAATCCTCTGACATCAGATAAGAGGGATCTTCCTTTGAACTAGAAAAGGCACTAGGAATACACTCAGATAGGAGAAAATATCCCTTTTAAAACTCAATTCAACATAATATTTATTTGTGAATTGGCAGAAGTAGATTCCCAAGCAGCAGGAAAGGTCTGACCTGTGTTGGAACTGACACTGTACAAGGTTTGGTGCTCCCAGCATGGAGAGGAAGTCAAGAGAAAGAGCTGTTTATTAGGTTTACATTATGGCCTGTTAGATTTCAAAACTATGGCAACATAATATTTATATTAAGAGCAGGAGTCTCCACAGCTCTTATTCTTACACCACTGCTCTTCAGACACCAGAAAAACAAACATAATGTTTGTACTGTCAGACTAGCTGGCAAGGCAAAAGATCATATTTGATAGTCTAGCTAAATTTACATAACTTGGCCAATTCCTGAAGATGCTTTGCCATGAAATGTATGGGAAAAAGGATTCAGATATGTTCAAATAAAACACTAAAAAAATTGCTGTAACCGTGAGGACCACTGAAGGTAATGTCAGACAACTGGCAAGGACATCAAGGGAGTGTCAGGTAGAGAGAGCATTGTCTTTAGGAGCTGTAGGTCAAAATCTGCAGCACTTGTTTTGGATGAAACTGAAGACTATTTATATTTATACAGTACCTAGAGACATGGTTTAGTGGTGGACTTGGCACTGTTAGGTTTATGGTTGAACCTAAATGATTCTATGACCACCACTCCTTTTTGTTATAAAGCATTGTGCTATCAGGTTTTGCAGGTCCTTACCTTTGTCTTGATTTGTTTGGGTGTATCAGTGAGGAAGATGGAGGAGTTTGGGTCGCTAGCACTCATTTTGGTCTGGGCTCCTTGTAAGGCTGGGAAGAAGACTGAGTGAAGTAAGGCTGGTTTAGGCTGCCCAATTCTAGGTGCTACATCCCGTGTCATTCTAAAATAAGGATCCTAAAACAATAAAAGCATAGAATAAAGTTGAAAAATATACTTTGAAAACTGATTAGTGCTGACTCGTTCATGCCTTAAGAGGTGACGCCAAAAAACCAAAAACTGACCAAGACATGAAATGTTTCAGAATCTACTTCCAATCCAGAGGAACAAAAAACAAAATTCCTTTTTTTCTTTTCCATAGTTTTGCTGTACACTCTGATTCCCTCAAGTAATAGGCATATTTACAAAGTTTTACATGAATTCAAATAGTTGTGGAAGCTATGCTAGTATGCCTGGAGATGGATGCAGACTAAGATGGAAGCTTCCCCCCAAAGCATTTTAATAACCAGTAGAGAATCTGAACTAAATCAGTGATGAAGCTGGCAGTGCTATACTCTGTCACAGTGATGTGACTTAAATCAACTGTGATATTACCACATAATATTGTGGCTGGTGAATATGCTTACACCATCTTCCAGTGACTGTCCCTGTGACTAACATAGCTAAAGAGTCAGACAGTGCAGGATTTGACTCCTAGAAACAGTACTTACTTAAAGTAAAGACTCTATTACTGTCATTTGTGTCTGATGTTCTTCCAGCTCCCCAGATCTTCCAGATCTGAATTGTTAGGGTTTTGCAGCCTTTCTGGCAAACTATTTCAATGCTTCCTTATTCTTACTGAGAGAAGGTTTTTCCCCATGGTTCAACAGAAATCTGTTATGCTGCCAGTTGAGCTCATTTCATCTTGTCCTAGCTACCATGGAGATGGACAAAAGTTTCTTCCTAACACCATGTTAGTATGCTTTTGCATAGATGTTACTGTCTTTGCTTTCATAGATGTCAGCTCAGTGTGAATTGAGTAGAGATCAAGAGAGATCCAAGAGCGGCAAAAAGTAGTAATGCATGAATACACAATTGTTGGGTTAAGCCTTCGTCTTCTCATCTTTTAGATCTTCCAGTTTCTATCCCAGAAAGGTGCTTGCAGGAATGTTTTACAGATGCTTTGAGATATCACCAGGAAGCTTCAATGGTACATGACAAAACCAAATTCATGAAAACCTAATCAAGTAATATGGTTTTCTTACCTGATCGATAGCACAGGGGATAAGACACTGAATGCTCTCCTTGCCATTGAAGATCTGTGGAAATGATGAACTGAAGGATGGGGCAGCTTGAATAGCAGGAAAGCTGATCTTACCTAGAAAACAGCATGTTTGGAAAAGCTAATCAGCCAACATAAGCTGTGATAAATACAGAGAGGTTTTTGAAATATGTAAAATGCACAAGTGAACCATCTGTATACTCACTTGAAGACCAAGATCTATCTCTATCAAGCAATGTTGCCTTATATGAGGAAACTTTCTCCTCTTTACCTTTTGTGATGTCAACAAACCTTCAACTGACATAGAAACCAATGACAAAAGGCAAGATGTGACCACAAAGATTTCAGAAATAGTTCATCACTGCATACTCTCTTCATCATTGAACTATCTACCCTTTCCACAAATACAATTGACTATATCATCACTCAGACCTGCTTTTTTTTCCCTCTTTGTGAGAGAATGGTTAGAGTCACTTATCAGGCAAGCTTCCCTCTAAGACCTTAGAATCATTGCTATATTCACACTGGACTCAGGAAGCATCTCAGATGTGTCTAGTTTTCTTTTTTATACAGTGCTTAATCACAGAATGGCCAATATCCTTCCCTGAACAAAATCCTGTCAGAAGAGAGAGCAAATAGCAGACTTTGCAAACATGTAATGAAGTCATTATCACAATACCAACTTTTATGAGAACTGTTAAAACAAGTAGAAATCTCATCCTTGGTTACAGGGAAGGCTGAAAAGCTGTCACTGGCATAACTACTGAACAAAAATGATGTTAGTGCTCAGGAACACCAAGAATTTAATGACATCTTTACATAGAATCTTTTTTTTTTTTTGCCAATGTGACAGAAATCTGTAATTGTAGTGAAGTAAATGGAAGACAGCAGTTACCCAGCACCTTGATAATTAGGCTTTTCAGTGCTCCCTAACACTTTTTCCTCTATGTATATGCCTGTATGTATTAATGAAACCTTTTCTGAAAATCTGGCATAGAAATTTCTAGGAGACATAACTGACTACAGCTGCAGTCACTGTAACAAAAACCAAAAAAGAAAAAGTAGCTCTCTATTTCAAACCCTTCAACATCAGTGTTTTGTACTTTGCTGTTACTAAGGCCAAAAAGGTAAATATCATGCTAGAAATTTCACTGTAAAGATTTTCTATTCTGAAGGAACCACAATAATATAGAATCAGAATCAGCCTAGAAACATGATCTTGCTTTTCCTGCCTCTTTCATGAATGCAGTACTAATCTCCTTAAACTATTACTTAAAATAGCTCCATCAAAAGTGAAAGTAAGCATTGCTTCTTGTAACTCATTTGATTTCCTACCAATGCAATCACTGTCTGTAAAGCCAAAGATTCCTTTCACTTGGTTAAAGGTAACATGCTTCTGAACCTTGACAATGTTTTTGTAGAATCCAGGACTTGTCCTATGGAAAAAAAAAAAGTGGAAAAATAAAATGAGAAGAGCAAAAAAGTGGATGTAGAAACTTTGACTACAAAAGATGAGAATGTCAAAAAACCTGCAGGATTAAATCTCAGTTTCAGACTTTTCGTGGCCCATTAAGATAATAATTAGAGAATTTTTTACAAACAGGAATTTTAACCCTTGAAAGTTTTAATTTGCTCTTTCCTTTCCCCAGCATTTACTACAAATATTTTTTTCATGAGTAACTGTCTAAATCCAGAAATATTTAGATTTGGAAATGGTGCCAAAATGCCTCACAGAGCCTGAAGTTTACTTATGCTTCTCTGTGAACTCAGGGAACTTAAAGAGATCATGTCTTCTGTGTTGCTTGGTATCCTCAGTGTGTATCCCATACAGGACACTGCTGCTGCCTGAAGGAATGGTAGCTCAAATCTTCCAGATTCTAATTTTCTACAGGATAAGTTCCCTGGTTGGACTTTCTCTGTCACTAAACACAGCAGCAGCATTTCCAAATCAAAAGTAGCTCCGCAACTTCTTCCTTTTTAACTTCTGTTGAGGAGCTGAAGGAAAAGAAACAGCAGTTCTCACCTGCCCTCCTTCAGCCACTGAGTCAAGTGTTAAAGCAACTTTGCTAAGACAGGAAACTCAGGGGGGTGAAAAGACGCCAAACTGCTTTGTAGGCTCCACGTTCTGGTGCTGTACATCACACAGCTTGTCTCTAAAACATATATTCTCTCATCCAAGTCTTTAAGGAAGCTCATCACCCACATGGAAGAGCAAAGCCCACAGATTCAGTTCTGAACTCTGCCATAAAATTTCTTCCTTCTGAGATGGCAGTTTTCAATAACAATTTATTTTTCTTAAGTCTTCTTTAAACTTTACTGAATGATCTTTCATGCTGTATTATTAAAATAATTGACCACAACAAGTCGTTGCAATGCCTTCTGTTAATGCAGATAAAGTGTAAATGCACCTGAAGGATTTTGATGCCATCTTAAAAAAAAAAACAACCAAACAACAATCTGGAAGTTTCTTGGTGGTTTAGGTATTTTCACTTTAACTGGTTTAATATATTTTTCATAATTTAAGCACTGCACACACAAATATTTGTTCATATGTTATTCAGGAGAATGACAACAGTACGTATAAAAAGTTAAGACAGCAGAAAAAATAATATGTTTCTATTTTAAGTGTCATAACACTTGCCTTGAAGCTTTCAAATTTAGACACATTTATTAAAACATTGCCGGCTGTCAGAGTCGGAGAGAAAATCCAGACATCTTTTTTTTCATTACAACGCCCTAAAGAAATTTATACTTACCCTAAATAGTCTAAATCTGAAAATATAAACGTTTTATTGATGTCAAAACCACAAGCGATGATGTCTTTTGCATTTTCTTTAGCATATTCATATGCTTTCTCAACTGTCATGTCCTTCCAAAGGTATTTCTCATCATCAGTTAACTGTATAACTAAGGGAACATCAAATACTTCTTGCAGCCACCTGATAGAAGAAGAGAGATGTTATCTCAAAATAAGTTAATATGAAGATGTAAGTCACACAAACGTTTTTATATATTTAAACAAAAAATACATGAAGAGATCTGATTCTCTTTCCTTTGTATGCATATGCAATTATGTTTATGTGAGCAGATGAAACATTTTTATAGAGATTATAATGACATTTTACCTGGAAAAAAGCCTCGCACTTATTGTTTCCTGTACATATGACAGCAGTCACCAGTTGTCATGGAACCAAAATTCAAAAAGGCTTTAGCTTTTTGAGCCCCATGTCTCTGTGTCCTGCTGCTGCAGGCACCACACACATTACAGAGTAATGTTACTACATTACAGAGGAATGTTACTGAGTCTCATCACCATCTTGTTTTTAAGAACAACAAAAATTCTAAGGAGTGCCACGGGGCTAAGGGAACAAGGAAAAGGGTTGTATGGTGATGCAGGGATTATGATCACTTTAGTGAAAAAGTAAGACTGAATTGAGTTCATTAATATTCACCTCACATAATCAGATCTCCTTGCAATGTATCCTTTTGGCAGTTTCCTAAAACATGTTCAATGTTTCCTTCAGAAAAAAATGCTTTGATTAATATAAACGGTAGAAATGGCTTACTTTGTGAACATAAATGGGATAAGATGACCAACATGCATTGCCTGAGAGGATGGCCCTCTGCCTGTATAGAGGTAAAAGGACTTCTTATTTTCATAAGCATCGAGTATTTGGTCCATATCTCTAAAGAAGGAACAGAGAAAACACGATACAACTGTTTAGGAAGAAACATCCACAGCAAAAAGCTTCTACTCAAAATCTGAGTGCTTTCAAAGCCAAACAATTTTATAAATAAAATACAGTATGTTGAGTGTCCTAGAAATAAAGTTCAAGTTTCCTCATTTTTAATTTCAGAAAAGCATTGTCTCCTTTAGTCCCCACGGGGAAAAAAAAACCCCTCAAAGAAAAATTAAATTAAAAATTAAAATTTAATGTTGGAAATTAAAATGAAAATTGCGCAACTTTTAAAGTTACTTCATTGGATAATAACCTCTAAGGCCTAGTAAAACAGCTAGGAATCATTTCCCAGATAGGTTCAAACAACCAGCTTGGCTGACCTCTGGTGGAGGCTGTGCCCCAAATCAAGCTCATGCACTTACCTGAAATATGTTACCTGCCACAGGCCAAAATTTTAATACAAGAAAAACTTACCTGTGAGAAAAAAAGATTCCTCTACGTAGAAAGTGGTGAGGTTTTTGCCCAGTAGCTCTTTCTATTCGATTGATCAGATCCGTGTCGATTTTACTGCTGCCAAATCGAACTATAACCATAAAGTGTTAAAAAAAAATAAAAATAAGCACAGCATCGCTACAGATTTTGGATTACCAATGGCATACCAATGCAGGTTAAGTTAAAAACAAATCTTCTTCAAATCTTCTCAGGTAAAATGGCTAGATTTTCCTGACTCTTGCCTGAAGTCCCAACAGACATCTCCAGTACTAACTCTATGCTAGGAGGCCCAGTCCATTCACATGTAATATTGCTCCATCCATGAATTATTACAATTGTAATCTCCTTGCAGCAGAAGTATTGATATTCCAAGCAAAAAAACATGCTAAAGAAACACATTTAGGTCAATAACTTGGCCTCTCTAAGCCATAGGATGAAAATGCCTTTGAGGCTCTGAATATTTTTCTCTTGATGTCTAAATTTTCTGCTCAGACCACACGGTCTTTCACTTGCCAACCCCAAACCCTTCTGCAAACTCAATTCTTCTTTAATATGTATATGATTACAGACACTGGTCCCCTCAAGAACCTTGCAAAGGTAGTGCATAATGCTCTTCATGGCAATCAAGTAAGACTTACAACTTGGTGGTTAAGGAAAGGCTGTGATAGAGTGAAATAGCAGTATTTTTCCGATTCTCAATAGGTTTTGATGGTGCCCAGGATGCTGTTGAGCTTTCTAGGCTGCAAGTGCACAGCGCCAGGTCACGTCCAGCTCTTCATCTACCAACACCCTCAAATCCTTTTCCTCAGGACTGCTCTCAATTCATTCTTTACCCAGTCTGTATTTGTGCTTGGGATTGCCCCAACTCAGGTGCAAGGGCCTTACACGTGGCTGCATTGAACCTCATAAGGTTCACATGGACCCACTTCTCAAAATTGTCCAGCACCCTCTGGATGGCATGCTGCCCCTCAGGTGTGTCAACCATACCACTCATCATGGTGTCTACAGCATTATGCAATGGGAAACTAGTTCCTGCTTACAGCTTTTCATTCACTCCAGGTGAGTCAAGCAGGATATCATAAAAGGGAAGCACTGGCTCATCCATGGAGCCATTAAAATAAATGTCACTAAAAAAAATAAATGTTGATACACGATTCAGCAAAGACAACTTTAATCCCTATGTTTTTTGAGTGTTAACATATCTGCTTCTCCTAAGTAAGCCTTAATTACTGAATGAAGTTCTTCCTATCAAATAAAATGTGTTACAAAATGGAAAAAATAATTATAATCTGGATGAATGCTAAAGAGAGACCAAATGAGCATGAAAATGTTTGATTCAGCACAATAGCAACTGTGCTAAGAGGTTAATCTTACAGAAACAGAAAACATGAGAATATCCCAGATTAACTGGGACTAGGCATCCTAGAAATCTTTGCATACTGTTGTAAAGGGTGATTAAATGCTCTCTGATATATAGAACATTCAACTGGAAATGCCTAAATAATTTTATTAAACATTCCCAGATTGCACAACTTCCTTTTCTTTGCCCATCTTCATCTTTCCTGTTAAGAAAACGGGTAGTTTTTCCTGACCTATTTCGTCCTATTTGAACGTTCAAAACATTTTAGGCTCTCTATTCACAAAGAATCTGCCTTCCTAAATAGCTTTATGAAGGCAGCAACTCCTTCACTTCGCTAAGTGGCCAGGCTAGCATTCTACTCTCAAAAATTTCCAACACATCACTTAGAAGAAGCAAAATGACTCATCTACCAAATTCACCAAATTAGCAAAAAATGAGTAAAAACCCTTTAGGTTAACCCACCACTCTAGGGAATATCAAAATACATACACACATATACACAGCTAAAAAAGGGCATGAACTGATTTACAGTGAAGTCACGATGGCCATTTGCAGGATGATCGTGAGATTGTGCCAACACAAGTATTCTACTCTTCTTCCTTTTCTAAAAGACTCAGAACCCTTCTCCCAAGAAAACAAATCCCCTTCTCTGTAACTCCTATGCACGTAGCAAGATGATGACAGATCTTGCCCACTTCTAGATTCTAATAATTATATTTTTTTATCTCTCTCCCACTAACCTATATTTTTCTTTGCGCACTTCTCCCTTTCCAACTTTTTCTTTCTCCTGTTACCTTCTGCAGACTAAGCCAACACGCACATACATTTGATGTGATCTTACAATAAACATCAGTTAAAGGAATGCTGACACAAGCAACTGTGCTTCCAAAAGCAAATATATGGTTACTGCCACATAAGGGTGTATGCTCTGTTGTCAGAAACAAGCTACTAAGCAGACCTCAGCAATGTACACCTGAGGTACTAAATGTGAATTGAAAACTGATAATAATAAAAAAAAAGGAAAAATAGAAAAAATAATGAATAGCTCTCTCACTTGTTTCTATGCTAGACTCAAACAAGCTATTAAAACAGCAAACTGTAAAACCAATGAGGAAATTAACTAAACCTCTTTTTCTTAAATTACAAAACTTTGCAAGTTTTGTAACACTCCTGTCTAAAACATTTTCCATTACACTGCGTGTTTTTGAATGAGCTGCAACTCCTCCATTCCAGCCAGCACTTGGCTGCATGCTAGTGTGTCTTCTGAAGAAGTCATTATACTTAATAAACTTCTGCATTAGTTTTGGATCATTCCTGCATTCCCTAATTCACAAGGGATATGAAGAGATGGCAGAAAGAATCCTACAGCCTGGCTAAAATGATCTAGGCTCTAGCTCTTCTGTATCACAGCCACTGAAGATGCAGATACTCAGTCACAGTGTCTTCATTAACACAACTTCTAATAACAGTCCTTATGCCAAAAATCCAACTGCAAGTAAAACATTATTTTGAACTCGAAAGTTCTTTACAAAGTTTTTAAGTCCTTCATAGGAAATCCCCACCTAGGACATTTTCATCTTCTACAGCAAATTCTTCAGACATGGGAATGCTAAGATTAGACATAAATTAAATGTTACCTATGATGGTATTGATCAGGATGTGTTATGATGCCTTGCTGTTTCTGTGGTCATTAGGATCACTTTACATAAATTCCTTAGTAGCAGTGAAGGAAGAGTTATACCTATGAGCTTGTCATAATCCACGCCTTTAGCGTTTGACGTCTGCACATTCCAGGGATCTACCAAATCCTCATCCTCTTCTTTAGTTGTACCATTGTTTATTAATACAAGATCTTTTGGAGGCAAGCCTGCCTGATAATCTTGTCCTGTTGTTGTTTTATATGACAGTTTTAATGATAATAGCATCCTTACTGCTGCATCAATTTCATCCTGAATAAAGGAAAAAAAAACCTGCTTACCATACTTAAAATAGACAATTATATTAATATCTTAACCTTCCAAAATCCTGCATCCATGCTTTGACTTGAATTGCATCACTCACAAACTCTAAGTCTTTATTTAAATGTTTTCATCTTAACATTTTAAGCATAAACTTGTAAGATATTTAAATAAAATATAAATTATTATCTAATTTACTTTACAATGTTTTTAGTGGTTCACCTGGAAATAATTTATTCATTACAATTCATTGACAGATTTGAAGACAAACTCGAACAAAAAGTTATGATTATGACCCTTCTAATATAAAGGTACTGTAAAATCTCATGCAAGCAATAAACAGAGCAACACTTTATTCGACTCCCACTTTTCAAGGTTTACTCCCTCAGGCAATAACACTAAGAGAGCCTGTATTAAAACTGAGCTCTCTTTGCCAACACAGTGAGGACAGAATAAGGAACTTAAAAGTAATGGCAAATTACTAAACTTAAGGGAGATTAACCAGAGACTGTCAGTGCAGTTACAGGAAGACATATTTGCTGATGCTTACAATAATGCTTGGAGAAAAAGATTTGCATGAAGCATCTAAAACCAGGGAAGAATGGAAGTAATATAAATTTACTTGGATCCTGTCACATAGCATGGCAACTGGCTGAAGCAGACTTCTAAGCCTATATTCTTACTAGAAGAGTAAAAACTTTGCTCTTGCTCGTGACTACCTTGCTCCAGGGTATGCCACAGTTCACGAAACGGACATAAATAATTTTTAACATGAATTTTTCTTATCACAGTGCAAAATAGATCTCAGAACAATCATATTCTTCAACACTCAAAGACAGACCTAACCTGAAAAAGAATAGGTTCAAAACATGAAATTGAAAATACCTTTGGTGCTTTTCCTGCTTTCAATGCTCTGACTTTCTCTCCTTGTTCAGTTACTCTTTCAAACAGCTGAAGAGGACTCAGAGACTTCAAATCACAGTTCAGACTATCAGCCATTGTGCCAGACTGCACAAAGATCTGTTTAGTTACAACTAAATTTATCCAATTCTTTGGCTCGTAGATTCAAAACAGCAGCAACAACAAGGAGAACTGTAGGGCAAAAAGCATTGTGTTTTATTCTTTTGTGTAAGTCTTGAAGATTAGATGAGCAGAATAAGAATATAAACACTATACTGACCCCATACCAAATTCTATTCACATCGTATTGATAAATGTGGAGATATTAACACAATGAGCTTCAGTTTCATACAGAAATGGACTAACAGGAGTGACAAATAAATTTAGAGATCACTGTTCATGTTGTTTGTCTACATATTTAACACTAGAACACCTTTTCAAAGTCAAATTCCTGGCAAAAGAAAAAGTAATTGAATATATGTACGATCCAGAGCAACCCAGAACAATTGGTAGAGGTTATCTGATTCCTGATTAGTTAATGTTCCTGCACTGATACCCTGTCAAATTCTGAATGATGAGACTTTTATAGCTATGATACAGAATTTTGTCTTAGTATATGTAATAGAGTACTTCAGCCCAAAGAAGGATATACAAGAGAAAAGCTTAGTCATCTTCTTTATGGCCTTCCTGCACAGGTTACAAACACACTGATGATAAGTGAGAAATGCTGCTTTCTAAAGAATCCTTGGGTCAGTAATAGGCTGTAAATTTGCAGAACTATGTGTTTCTCAGAAACACTCAGGAAAAATAATAGGAGAAGGCTTAAAATGAGGTGTTGGATGAGACTAATAACACAGCAGTCCTCCTATGTCCAACATATTCCTTGATCACTGCAGCTTCCTACCACAGAGCATGCCCATGCCTCCATAAACAGGCTTCTCTCCCAGACAAACAACTATAATGTTCTATATATTAACAATAACATCATCTGAAAGTTTCTTAGCAGTCTATTAGTGATCAGTGACTGTGACTTTGCAGAACTACAACTGCATAGTTTACAGTAGACTAACACTGTAAAGTAATGCCGTTAAAATGTTAGATAAGCATAGTTTCTATTACCAAATGCATTAAAATTATTTTCACTCTACAGCAGAAAAATCTTGGTCTTTAGCTTATCAGTTATCTTCTAAAATGTTATAAATAAACTGCTGTACTTTATTTTAAAGAATACATTGAACACCTCTTAGTAATTAGCAAGTCAGGAAACCCCTGTAACATGGATTGCATTGAATTACCTTATACCTTACTACATATACCTCCCAGAAAGGTGTCACAGCAATTAATGGTATCGCAGCAATTTCTCCCTCTGATTTTTCTAAAATTACAAATTGTCTTCATATAACCTCTGAACAAAGCCCAGAGTTTTATTTATGTCTAACAACTCCAGTGAACCTGTTATCAACCTGCCACATGTGAACACTCATTTCAACTGCAGAGGCGTAATTCTTTATTTTAAAAATCCTTATTTTCAAAAGTTATTCATGCTCAGCAGATCTCTATACAAAATAATGAGGTCTTTAGAACCATATAGGTTCTGAATATTCTTTTGGTAAAAATTCAAGCATCGTGCTGCTTAAATATTGAGAACTGAGGACAAACAAGCATTAACTTGAAACGGGAAGGGAGTTTTTATGGTTGTGGTTAGAGTGAGCTTGTCATATTTACATAGAAGAAAATTAGCGTTAAGAATATGTAAGGAGGACACCATCTGTCAGAAAAATAACACTGTAAGTGGAACTGCAACTATCTCCAATCCATTCAGGAAGAACATACCACGGTAACAAGGTACACAGGGAAGCATCATAAAACCTGTGGCTGTTAAAATGAGGTAACAGGAAAAAAAAAGAAACAGAAGCCTGTAATAGTTGCTTTAGCTGTTCCACAGTATTTCAAAGCCTTCCTTCTACAAAATAATCAGCCTAATCACAACCTTGGTTATATTTACACAGCATATATTTAAACTGCCACTGTAAAAAGCCCTTCAGCTGCCTAGTAAACTTAGGAAGGTCAATTTGGTAACTTGCTGGTTACCAAAACACACCTATGATTAAGGCTTTGTTTGTCAGTCAGTTGCAATATTCCCATATTTCAGCTTCAGCTGAATACCCTGAGAAAACTGAGAAGTGTATACATCCACTTGCTAATGTGATTTACTTAGTCTATTAACTCTGATGCCATATTTAGATTACATAATTGACTAAAATAAGACTAATGTGTCACCAGTAATACTTAAATTTTTAACCTAATCTCAATCCCTTCAAGCTTGACTTTTTGCAGTTTGACAGTGTAATTAAAAAAAACTAATTTGAAGCAGATCAAACAATTCTTTGATGCATTCCTACAGTTTAATAACTTTTTCTATTTGGATATAAGTGCTTTCCATTTTTTCATAGGGACAAGATATTTAAGTGGAAAAGAAAGTGTAGAATAAACACATATTAGAAAATGTTTAGGAAGATTAACACACGCCCTTTCTGTACAAACATGCCAGTTATAGTTACTTCAAATTTTAAAAAATAGAAAATATATAAAAAAGAATTTTCTTTGGCGTAGAACAGATTGTGATTTGGTGTTTTAACTTAATCCCTGAAAGGACACTGCTACTGATAGATTGCTTTCACTCAGAAAGGCTGAAATGACAGCTGAGACCGAGTACATATACTGGAAAGTATTAACCAGAAAGAACCCTTTAAAATGTTTGGAACATTATGGATTTAAGATGAGCAAAGAATCTCAAATGAAGATGCATTTTCATCAGGAAGTAACAAAAGTAATCTAGTTGCTGCAAGAAGATACGAAGATATTATGACTATAAAACACAAACATATTGACTGCTATATAAAAGTTATCTCTATTTACCTCAGTACTGTCCCTATTCAAGCCAGGAATTCAGTAATGTGCACTACAGGTCTTTATCTTTTGAAATTCATAAATGCAACTGTGAATCATTTAAAAGAAATGTTTGGATATCCAGCATTTTATCAGGAATTTTTTCCTCACTTTCCTATTGATATTATGAAAACCAAAAGTCCCGGACACATCAGATACCATGGGCAAACAGATCTGGAGTAAAAAAATGGTGCATGGGAATTTGAGAATGGGCTATTAGGATATTTGGGACCAGGATCCAAAATGAACTTAAAAGCCTCAGTTTCATGGTGTGAACTTGAAAGCCAAGATTTGTGTGCCTTGTCTACCTATGCAATGCAGGTAATCTGTAACAGGTACGGCTCCTATGACCGTTTCAGAACATTAAACCGTTGTGAGACAAAACTCAAAAATAATCCTTGGCAAAGTTATCAGAAAAATGCTCTCTGTCCCACCGGATGACCATCACAGACCTACGATCATTTTTACTGTTTGCAACCTGATTTGGTAAGTTAGAGACCCGAGAATTAAAGAGCAGGGTTTCATGTTATGTTAAGAAGAGCTCTTTCATGACAAACATCCTATGAAGGTACATCAAGACTTCCAAAAACAACAGTAACACAGTAGTCCACAAAAAGCTTTCATAAGCAAATGAAAGAATGTGGAAGTAAGTCTAACAGCACTTACGTTCCTGGAAACTGTTTTGCCTCCTGCAAATAAAACAGAAAAGTGAAATTAAAGTAGGTAGTATCCACACAGAAACACACCTTGAGAAGTACTCCAACACAGGCTGCATTTTATAGAAGACCTACCTTCCCAGTCATGACAGACACCAATGAAAATATGAAACTACAATGAAAGAGTGTAAGATGATTCCCCAAGATGACAAGAGGACCACTCAACCATTGTCAGCTGAAGAAAGTCCACTGTGAATCTTTACTATACACCAGCTGTTATGAGCAAAGCTGCTGTCTAGCAACGGGTCTGCACCAAATCACCCAGCACGCCAGCGTTCCCTGAGCCCTGCAGTATTCCCCGCCACACCCTGCCCGGCCAGGGCCAGCTCTGCCCTTCTCGCGGTGGGAGGCATTTTCCTGCGGCCTGGACATCTCACCCTGTCCTTCCCTTCCCAGGGCATTTTGTCCTGACGCGTTGGCGATGTAGTCCCGGAGGCCGCAGGGAGTAGAGGAAAAGCCCTCCAGCCCATCCACGCCTCGCACAAGGAGGGAGGGAACGTGCCCAGCAGAGACCTCTCGCGCCCAGCGCCTCGCACCGCTCACGGGGGCGGCAACGACTGCCCAGCCAGCCCCCCTCCCGCTCGCGAGGGTCCCTCCCCGCGGCCCCATCCCATTATATCCCATTCCCTCCCGTCCCTCCTCACCCTCTGCTCCTCGCTCTCCACCATTGCATCACCCCCACGCCGGCACGACTACCACGCCTCCCGGCTGGGAAACACATCCCCCCGGAACCATTGCCTCCCACAGCCCTCCGTCCTCCTCCAGCCCCCAGCCCAAGGAAGGGCTCTCCCCGCCGCTCGCAGCGGTGGAAGAAGGGCTCCTGCGCGCTCAGTGAGCCGCGGCTTCACCCCTGCACTTCCTAACGCGCGGGCCTGGCGTGGGGGATACGACGCGCGGAACTGATTGAGTGGGGCTCCTTGTTTCCACCCGGCGCGCCTTTAAAAGCGGCGCGGCGGCGGCCCTTCAGGTGAGTTGTGGGCGCGGCGGCGGCCCTTCAGGTGAGTTGTGGGCGCGGCGGCGGCGGGAGCGGAGGGTCTCACGGGGGCGGGAGCTGTCCCTGCCCGGAGCGGTACCGGGATGGAGCTGTCCCGATATCGGACTCTCCCGGTCCCACGAATGACCTCGGCGCCCGGGGCTGCGGGGAGAGCGGGCGCGCGCGTGTGTGCAGAGTTACGACTCCACGGGAGAGCGCAAGGAGGCGGCCTCGGTGCCCAGACCCGCTGCCTCGGGCAGGGCTGCTCCGGGGACACCGGGGGAGGCGGGTGGTGTTCACGGAAGCACAGAGTCGTTACGGCTGGAAGGGATTTCTGGAGATCATCCAGTCCAATCCCCCCCGCTAAGGCAGGGTCACCTGGAGCAGGTGACACAGGAACGCGTCCAAAGTGGCTTTGGAATGTCTCCGGAGAGGGAGACTCCACGACCTCCCCGGGCAGCCTGTTCCACTGCTCTGCCACCCTCAATGTAAAGAAGTTCTTCCTCGTGTTGAGGTGAAAGTTCTTGTGTTTTACGGCCATTGCTCCTCGTCCCGTCTCTGGGCACCACTGAAAAGAGCCTGACACCATCCTCTTGGAACCCACCTTTGAGATATTTATGTGCGTTAACGAGATCCCCTCTCAGTCTCCAGACTAAAAAGGCCCATCTCCTGCAGTCTCTCCTCATAAGGGAGACGCTTCAGACCCCTCATCATCTTTGTGGCTTTCGCTGGGCCCTCTCCGGTACTTTGTTCTTCCCCTCTGGGGGCCGTGGGGCATCGGGAGTGAGGGAGCAGCCCCGAGGGGGCGGCGGTGCCTCCCGTGGGACCGCACCGGGGCCGGCGGGAGGGACCTGCGGTGCTGCCTCTGCTCCCATGTCACAGCATCCGCGATCACTCAGTGGGTGTGGGGCGTTGTTCGTGACAGACTGAACGCTCCTTGGTTCAATGTGTTCAGGGAAATCAGCCGTGTGGAAATTAAAACTGAAATTCTGTAAACTTCTCTAATTATTAGCTCAACACATTGTAAATCATATATCGTTAATAAATTCACAGTCTAGTTACAGTGTTTCTGATCAAGTACCTTGTGGTTTCCATCTCCCCTCCGTTTTTCTTTAGTTAGCTCAAGGTAAGAAACTTTGGGTGGTGTTGCTTTAAAAGCAGATGTTGATGGGAAGTCTTTAGATGAGAGAAATGCTTTGGTTTTACAAAAGTACTGACGCGTATGGGTGATGTGTGTGGTGGGATGGATTTGTGCTGGCCAGATGTAATGGGACAGTTTCTTTCCAGTATCTCATGGGAAATGTTTTTAACCTGGTGTTTGCACGGCACTATGGTGCACTTAGTTCTGAATCTCAGCTTGAGGTTTTTTGTGTTTAAATAAAGTAGCTTTGCAACTCTTACCCAATCCACTTGTGTATCTTAGTTTATAGCTTTTAGCCAGAGGTCAACTTCTTACTGTATTTGTTCTTTGGAAATGGTGCATTTGGCTGGGCCCTGTTTTTAGCACTGCAATATAAACAGTAACCACTCAATACAGTTATTCAAAGCTGCTATTTATTTGATGTTTCAATTTACTGCTAAAACCTTCAATTTACCGTTTTTGAATTGATTTTTTAGTTAAGTTTACTTGATATGCTACTTATTTTTTCTTGACACTGTTTAAATGAAATGTTGTTGTAATAAATGTAGCTGTATTACTAAAAAAAGAATTTTTCCTTGCTCTTCTTTGCTGACACTTATAGCTATCTTAAACTTCAAATAAGGACAAAATGTCCTCTAGAGGGAGATCTTGTTGCTTTTATGTGCTAAAATGTTGGTCACCTTGTTCCAGTTAAATGTTTTGATCACCTATCTTGGAAAGGATATGTGATGATGAATGTGTGTACTTCTGCTCTGGATCTGTGCTTGGAAATTTCATAACAGGATACAGAATATAATAGCCTGTCATGTAACACTTCTGTAGGTTAAGTGAAACATAGTTGTTTTAGTTTGAATAGGTTTAATTCTGAAGTTAAATGAATAATGTTTACAAGTTCCAGAGCATTACTCCTGCAGGAGAATTTGTAGGACTTACATTTGTGGCATCAATTCTGCAAATGCTTACAAAGATACTGACTTTCATGCATCACTCTCTTTTTCATCAAGATGCTTTTGAGGGCAGTTTCTTTACTGTCGTAAACCAAGAATTTCAGTAGCTGCTCTGAAAGTGTTGTGGGTTAAATCTCTTCAGCATAATGAGTGCTAACAGCTGGGCAAGGAAATAAAGCAGAAATAAAATGTCCCATTTGATTGATCTTGGCAGTACTTTCTGCCTATAAAAAACAGAGGTTGAAATATTACTTTGCAGACACATCAATTGTTTGAATGTAGTTAACTCTATATTCCACATGCTCAATCCAAATTACTGGAAGAATCCTGGTGGGATTATTATGAGGGTGAGTTATTCAGCATGTTACATATGCAGCCTCAGCATGAGATTTTTCTCACAGACACATTGAAAAACCTTATTCCACAGTAAAGGCATCTGTGCTCTTATTTTTCTGTACGTAAATGCAAATAGTGAATTTGGTGTAGTTTCTGTTATGTCTGTTGTGTAAAACTAAAGGCTGTGTGGAACTTACTCAGTGGATATGATTGGAAAATTTCCTCATACTGCGACAACTGCTGAATAGGTCAAAAATGTGTTCACTTTTTTAGTTGCCAGTTGAACCCCTACACACTTCTTTCAAGTCCTCTGTACTGTTAAGAAATAGATATTGTCAGGCTGACTCCAAAATAGTTGTAGTATTTGTATTCTTATAAATGTACATACCAAACCACTACATAATTAATTACTTTTGTGTGAGGAGAAGTAATACTGCAAGTAAGGTAAAGTGATTTGCATTATTTATATTGCAAGATTGTTTTCCTTTCCATACTCTTTTTCATTGTTTTATGGTATGCAAATACACTTCTGCAGTGCATTAAAAATGTATGCAAAGGGCTTGGAGGCAAATGGTGTTGTGTAATTGAAGGTACAGATGTGTTTTAATAGAGGAATAAATGCCATTGATAAATAGGAATAAAAGTTTGATGTTTTTTGTTAAGAAAGGCATATTTACATCCCTAAGTTACTCATATTGTAGACTCTTTAATGAACTGTGCTCTGAATAATCAATTCTTTATTTTAGATCATAATTTTGGAGGATTGCAGCACTGAGATCTCTGGAGTCTGCTGTGTGTAGCCATAATGAGTTCGTCACTGGTTGCTTATGAAGATTCAGACTCTGAGACAGAAACTGAGAAGACTGAAGTCCCCCAAGCTTTTGGCACTCAAATAAGCTCTCAGAGGTCTTCTGTGAGTTGTGGTCAGCACTTTGCACCTGGTAGTTTGGGTACAAAATCTACATATGAAATGCACCCTACGGAGAACAGTGGCAGTTCTGGCACAAGCACTGTTTGTGAAGATCCCCCTGAGCTTTATGCACAGAATAATAACACTGACATGACATCTCCTTATTCTAGGAGGGCATACCCTGGCCATGCTGCATTATCTATGCCTTACAGAAACTATGAACAGACCTCAAGCTCTTCAGCAAACTCTGGAAATGGCGTTTCCCAGAAGAGAATGCATAAAGACAGTGCTACTACCATAAAAGGAATTAGACCATATATCCCCAAACGATTGCGTCAAGAAAGTTCCAGTACGCCTGAAACAAAGGAACCTGATCAGAGAGGTAGCTCAGATTGTGATGTTAAACTGGGTGTATTGGGAGAGCAGACTTCGAGAAAGATCTCTGAATTAATTAAGCCATATTTGGGATCCAAATATAAATCAACCGAAGTCCCCAAAAGCTTAATATTTTATATGTCTAAACACAGTGGCCCTGTCAATGAAATCCAGTGGTGTCCTGTACGGGAACAGAGTCACATGCTTCTCTCAGCTTCTATGGACAAAACAGTCAAGGTAATGTAAAACAAGATGTTTTGTGGCCCAATCATCCAACTTAAAAATACTGTATTAAAGAATGCTCTTCTGGAAATAACATCCTTGCCTGTGTGTGTTTTAACAGTTCCAATGTATTCAGAATTCAAGGAGATGCTTTGAAGTATAAGACTCTATTATGAACTTGCAGCCTAATTCTTCACTATACCCACAGTTAGTTCCATTACTTTGGAATTTGGTGTATTGTTTCGGGGTTTTTTTGAATTAGTCATGTGAGTGTTTTAGACCTTAAAAAGTTAGGTTTCTACTAGGTCATTTCTCATGATCTGTACCAGTGTTTTGTCACAATGGCCATAAGCACTATGGTCTGCATACAGATCCTTCCCAAAGTCAGTAAACAACTGACTGCCAACACTGGAATAATATTTTGAGGAACTTTTCTGACAGGCCTACATGACTACTGCTGGAGGAGGTCAGATGGATTTTCCATCTGAACCAGTGTGGCAAATAAGTCTTGCATCCCAGAGGTGTCCTGTTGTGATCTAAGGAGTCTTTCCACTTTAAATTTGTTTCAAGGGTTAATCGCTCCAATACTCAAAGTGTATTTTCCTTCTAGTTTTAACATTTTATTTGTTAATTTAGTCAGTCCAATGAGTCGTTTATTTTTAAAATGGGTAATAAAAGTATTGTATGTGTATGCTTTCCCAGACATAGGGCTAATTGCACCTCTGGGTTCAAATAATAGTCCTCTGAAATGGTTTTACACAGGAACATAGTTTTGATAAGAGCGTACAGCAAGTGTCCTTTCTGGTGGAAGGCATGCTTTGTTGCATCTGAGATGTATTTACCGTAGCATCCACAATTATTTTAAAACTTGCTTCTAAAATTTAGGACTTTAAGTAAATACTACTAAACAGAGACCAAACAGCAGAACACCCATTGCACCAGCATACTTCTAAAACCAAAGGAGAGAACTTAAACTGAATTTGAATTCCAATTTAATGTAGGAAAAAATAGTCTTAAATTCTCTTATTCAAATTGAGAATTTTTTCTTTAACTATTTTGCTGTTTAATTTTTAGTGGATAATGGAATTTCCTTTAGTTTGGTTTTCTAACACCTTTTTCTTATCTTAGAATTTTTGTCTTTCCTCTTTCCTGAGTTTTGCCATGGGGCCCTGTGAAATATATGCTATCTTTGCATCTTTGAAGCAGCAGTGCTCTTGAATCTTGGACAGAGTTTTTGCTTTTGTCTCCAGATGTCTACTAAAGCACTTGGTGGTCACAGAAAAGAAAACTCCAGATCTATAGCATGCGTAAAATTTTCTCTTCCTAGTTGTTTATCTTTTATTTCTTAAGTTATAATGACTTCCCTGGTTCTGTAGTCAGCATAATGTATCAAACCATCAAAGTCTGAATACTTTAAACTTTTAGGAAAGATAGAATTCCTCCATCTTTTCCCAGCTTTTTTAACCTCTTTGTCTTAAACATTAACTTGGAGGAAAAAAAGTGCTGATGGATGTTTTTGGTAAGCGGGAATTTAAATTTGGATTATACAAAACTATTTTACACCACCTCTGAATTTTGATGTTTGACATTTTGTCTGAAGTTGTAACACAATATAACCTCATTTTATTGAGTGAAATTATGTATGTGTTGAATATAAAACAATCTAAAATCAAAGTTGTTATTGCAATGTAAAACTATTAAAAATGAAAATAATGGCATGTCTGTTGTGTATTCTAAGCAGAAAGAAAGATTGTTTTTGTAAAGTAGTGTCATCACCCCTGCTTAGAAGCAGTCATTAACCAGTAAGGCTGGTTTTAAAAGAAATCTAACTGCTTTAGGTTCCCCAAACCTTGGAAATTCAATATAAATAGAATATATTAATGTTGTCAATGCTTCAGGGCACGCGAGTGTAAAAAAAATTACTGAAGTAATAATGTGACTGTTAAGCAGTATATGAAAACACACTTCTATATTTTTAAAGGTAGCCTGTAGAGAGGTATCTATGAGTGCTTCTTACTGTTCTTTCCTGGTGAACCTTTTAATTATTGCGCTGTCACACACAGACCATCCCGGCCAGCAGAGGGCGCGGTGGCATCGAGGATTGCCGGGATGTTGGGAGCCCAATTTCCCTCACTTTCTGGGATCATGAGCCCATAAATCCCTGGTGACTGTGACAGCAGTGCTTTGTCTTTTGGGGATTTATTTGCAGTCTACCGCTGCCTGAAGTTGCCCATTTTCTGGTATAAGCATAAAACAACTGATTGAAAATGAAGATGTACTTGTTTTTTCCCCTTGTCCTTTAACTTCCCACAGCTTACCTTTTTTGTTGTTTTCTTCCCACAACACCTGCTTGGAATTGCTAGTTTAAGTCCAGACAGTGGATGCATGTCTTCTTTACCTCTGATGGGAATATGCAGACAATCAGGATGTTTGCACTATTTACTTTCAACATTTGATTAAGGTAAAACTCAAAGCACAGTTAGAAGTCTAAAATCCCTATATGATCAGAGACAGTAGGCAATCCAGAGCCTCAAAACTCTGTACTTTGAGTTAGTCATATGTATAACTGTGACTGAATAGTTTTATATGCAAATGTCTTGGATTCAGTCCTTACATTCAGCCTATGAATTAAGACATTTATCCTTTAAAGAGTCCAATATTAGTGAAGATTTCTCAGAATTGAGAGTTCTAAGTTGATATGACTGTGATAGTTTGTGCTTAAATCAGAGATCTACAGTTGTATGCAATTTGTGTAGTATTTAGCCAGTTTTGTATATTTTATCTGTTCTTGTGTGCTTAAATGTTTTCCTCTTAAATTTTCATCCCCCCCCCCCCCCCCCCCCCTTGGCACAGAGAAGGAAGAGACACTTGCTTTAGTTACCTTACTTTAGTGATTTTAATTTTTTTGTCCCATGTAAATTACTATGGCTAAGTATGACACAGATAAGTGTCTAAAATGCATATATGAAACCAATTATATGGTTTCTTACTTTTTAAGTGTGTGTGCTTAACCTGTTTAAATCAGAAGAAAAGAACAGTCTTCCATTTATGTTCTCTCAGGTTAACCAGTGTACATTTTAACATCATCTTTATGGATCAATGTAAATCATACTAAAATATTTACAATAAATGAGTCGATGTCTGCAGTTTCTGTTGACTGAAGCATAGCCTACAGTCAGGGAAGATCATCCGAAGCATTTTGTATAAATATTTTGCATATTTAGGAATGAATGGACTGTTTTAGAGGACTTCATAGTTTTCTTTGAAAGTATTTCAAAGATCTGAATTTTTTGTATATCGCTGCATTTCAAAAACCTCAAACAGTTATCAAGTGGTTGAGTTGAAAAAATTATCAGTTATCAGCTCAGGGGCGTGATTCTCTAGAGTAACATTTCCACCAGCAGATGGGGTGCCTCGACCTATTAGAAAGTGATGGGAACTGAACTCTGCCTCTAAAGACTGGAAGACTTTAATATTTGCCTCTGTGTTATGTGTTGAAAGACCAAAGTTACAAGTTTATGCATGTGTTGGTAAACATATAAGAAAACAACTGAGTTTTCTTAGAGACCTGAAAATATGATAGAACTTCATGTGGAAAGAGATATGTATTGCAGATTAGTAACTCACAGGTCTTCAAATCTGGAGCATTAATAGAAGAATATTTCATGCAAAATCTCAAATTTGTAAGGAATGAGGAAAAAAACCCTCCTAGTTCTGTAGGTTTTGTCAGATTTTTTACCCTCTGTTTTTGTAGAATTTTTAGCTTCCCCTTTGAAAGCTCCAGCCTAGGTAGCTGTAGAAAGGGACAGAAACCCTGATTCAGGGTTGGGAAAAGTACTGTTGGGAGCTCTTACTGTGACAGTTCTATTATTCACAGTTGCATTCTAACTGTATTAGGGTGGATTATGTTTTTAGCTTTATGTATTTTAAGGATTGTGAAACATTATTTTCTGAACTGATTACATTTGGTTTTTTTGAGTAACACTTCTGTTTGAATGGCTGCTGTAATTGAAATTTAGGCTACTACTGCCATTATTTGGGTTTTCCTACTAAAACACCAAAATAGTTAATCTCTCATCTAGTGTTTTTTTGCATGAATGTTAAGACTCAACACCATTATTAAAGGTGCCCCGTTCCCGGTTCTGATATACAATGCTTTGTATATCAGACCTTGCTTAGGTATTTCTGGTTTAGAACCACAACTACAGAATCCAGAATCACAGGTTACCATTGAATACAGCTGCTTGCCTTCCATAGCAGGGAACATTAAAAAATTGTGTCTTGAAAGATGTGTTTACCGATTGCAGAAATGACAATGCTGTTCATTCACGTTGACAGTGTCTTATATTTGGAAGACCTTGTCATTACGTAGATCCACACAGACGTTAATGTTTTCACTACTTACTGATTCTGGACTTAGCTTTTTAACAATTGTTCATAACTTCAAGCCTCCTATGCCTTTATTCTGTATTTCCTATTTTTGTCTTTAAAAAGATGTTACCTGGAGTTAATTTTTAATCATCTGTTAGCTTTTAATTTTGTGTTCCTGATTTTTTATTTAGAGCATCACAGCAGGGATTATGTTTGTTGCAAAGTATTTCTTAATTTTCAGCACTTTCATTCTCTGTTGTTAAACAGGATCAAGGAAAGAAAGTGCTGAGATTCTTGAGTGTGCAAAATGTATATTAATAGCACTTTGACAGGATGTCTTGTGTTGTAATACATTGCTGGAAGTTTTTCTTATACATTTTTTCCCTACTTACCTAGTTGAATGTTATTTAGTCACAGCTGAATCTATACAAACAAAGTAAAAGTTTCTAAAATGAGTGTGGTGGGTTGACCTTGGCTGGATGCCAGATGCCCACCAGGCTGCTCTATCACTCCCCTTCCCAGCTGGACAGGGGAGAAAGAGTAAGGTGAGAAATGGCTCATAGATTGAGATAAGGCAGTTTACTAAAGCAAAAGTTTGAATGCACAGTAACAAAGCGGAAAATGGCAAGGTTTATTCTCTGCTT